TGTATATATTTACTCAGTTGAAAGGCAAGCTAAGAAATCGGTCTGGCAGAATCTTTCCATATGTACTGGCTTATGGACAATATGCTGAAGCAGAGCTGTAAAATTTCTGCAGGGAAGCTTGTCTGCAAATTACTTGTTTATGAGGAGGAAGCAGGATAGTGCAAGAAATACAGCTGTTCATCTTAACCCCATCATCTGGTACCATGGGCTAGTTCAGAAGCTGGAAGCAACCACATATAGATTTGTGGCTGTGCACATGAGGCACTGAAAGTTCAGTCTCATCCTTGGAGTTTAATTACTTTAGATTGCAGAATTCTTCTCACTTGCCACTTGCAGTACTCCTGTCCCATTACAGATTTATGTGTCCTTTTTGCAGCAGTTACAGGCCCAACCAGACTCTCAGCTTTACTTTCTTAAACATACTGCAGTGCAAGTTCTTTCCAGCACAGCAGAAGATGGGAGGCTATTCAACCTGTGTATATAGTCTTCATCTCCATAGAAAATGGTTGAGAGAAGAGGCAGGCTGGAGTAGGGTGATTATGATGTTTTACACTAAATGTGAGATGGTATGTTTCTGTGAATGAGTTGGGAATTGATCCCGTGAACTCGTAATATAGTTTCTTATGGGACTTCTAGGCTTTCTATGCCTTAATTCATCCTTTCCTGAGAAACAACTGACTATTTTCTTATATTGTAAAATAGATCAATGTGAGGCAGGGCAATTAAAAAAAAATCAATTGTATTTATATATTTTTTCCAAGACACCACCAAAATTCAGGAAATCAGAAAACTTGTTCCTGCAAATATTGAACTGTATCTCATCCAGATGGCTATTGCATTGTTGGAGAAAAAGGATGGCAGTAAATCTAAGTATGGTTCAGGTGCCAAAAGGATGCTGGTGTTGTCAGACGGACAGCAGGAAAAGACAGGAGCAGACCAAACGAGCAGGGGCAAAGCGTTGTGGAGTGGAAGAAAGGTTAGTAAAAATCTATAGAACTGGTTTTGTGAAAATGTTTTGTCCTTTTTAGAAGCAGGCCAAATGCTGTTCGTTGTTGCTGTACGCAATACTGCTTAGCATCTCCATCTTCCCAGTCCCCCTTTTCCTCAGCTCTGAGTAAGAGTCTTTTTCTCTTCTGGTATTTGACCAAGAGGTTCCTCTTCTGAAGTGCTGACCTAGCGAAGAGATCAGCCCCTGATCAGTCTTGCTGCTGTGTATACCGTTATAACTCTGACTTAATAATGGGCTCAGAATAGGGATGGTCATCTTCTGCTCTTGTCCAGCCATTCAAGAAGTGAATGTAAAAGATTCCCTGTAAAATCCAGGAGTTTTGAGTAGCTGAAATAATAGAAGAATATGAAATTGAAATTTCTGCCCAGTATGAAAGCTCTACATAAGCTAGACCATTTATAGACAGTCCATGTTCTGCCTTTATTGGCACCTGATCACCCACCTAATTTGGGAAAACTGAATCCCTTTCTGTCTAGAAAGTTCTAAGACATTCATGAGTCCCTCTCTTGCTCAAGCCACTGGATGTAGCTATAATAACAAGAAAAGTGTCATGCTATAAATCTGAGTCACTGGGAGAAATTTCCTCTAGAAGGAAATACTGAGCTTGCTACTGCAGTTTGAAAAGGCTAGGCCAGCCTTTCCAGCCCCATGGTTGCCTCTCAGTGTCTTCACAAGTTGCAGTTCAACACTTAATACAAAAGCCTGCCCTGAGTTGCTCCAAGCGGGATTGGTAAAAAGAAATAAAAAACTGTAAATCCTTCTGCTGCCTGCATGCACAAGGACTTCATATCTGTTCCTTACAGAGGTTAGGGATGGTTTCTTTAACTTGGGACTAAGATAATGTTTTGTGCCTTGCCAAACTGATTGTTTCTTGCCTCCCTCAGTACTGTTTTGTTTCTACAATAAGTGTCTGAGCATGTTTATGTTGTTTCCCAAAGTTGAACTGACAATTCAATTGTATGAGCTATGGTAACTTTTTTTTCCTGCTACTGATAGCTTGTGGAGCTAGTAACAGGGACATACTAATAGAGATCAAATTCATGTTGTACAAATGAACAAACAGCAAATGTCAAAAAACTAATCAAAATAGACTTCATTCATTTCTAAGAAGAAATCCTCACTCTAATAATTCCTTGTAGCAAACAGCTTTTGAAAATAGCAATGGATGTTATTTTCTTTCTTTTTTTTTTCTTTTTTTTTTTTTTTTAACATTATGTTATTTCTTTCATAGGATAATTTGACCAATCCTACACTGAAAGAAGGAGATGAAAAAAACCATCCGCAAGTGGTGCCCTCAGCTTCGGTAAATAGGTGTTATTAATGTAATAAATCATGTAGTAGCCATTAGCCATTAATGGTTCTTTAAGTGAGATTGAAATTGTGAATCAGAGATGCATGGTTGATGCAAAAATCTTAGCTTCAGTTTTTTCCATCAGTAATGCTCAAGCATGATGTAACAATCACAGGTTAATAGATTTCAATAACGCCTTTATCAACTAACACCTTAGCTTGAAAATCATGTCTGAAAATCATAGAATCATAGAACAGCCACAACTGAAAAGGATCTCAAAGGTCATCTAGTTTCACCCTCTGCTGTGGGCAGGGCTGCCAACCACAAGACCAGGCTGCTCAGAGCCACATCCAGCCTGTAAAATACAGCAGTGGTGTAAACATGCAAACAAGTATTTGGAGTTCTTGGAACCACTGGGACAGAGGATACAGTCTTCTTCCCCAGAAGGGAAAAGAAAAGGGGGGAAAAAAAAAAAGGCCCAAGTGAAAATTTTAGTTGCTTTATTTATAATGAATGCATTTCACTTGCTCAAATTTTGTTTTGGTGAAATGGATAAGAAATAGCTAGGGATATTATTAAGGAGAGGGTGTTGGAACTCCTTTTTATAATTTACTAATTTACTTCCACAAAATCTACTTTGTGCTCTCATACTGTGATACATGTAACAGACTCCTTTGTTACTGTCCTATGCAAAGGCTGCCTGGAGCACAGATGATGCCCAGCCAGGTAACAGGGGTACAACAGACCGCAAGGAGCCCATCGAGTTGGCCTCCAGGAACCAACCAGCGCTCTGTACTGACAAAGAACTGTTTGCTGACACTCAGCCAAAGGTGAGGTTGCCAGTAGCTCTGCCAGGAGCAGAGCAAAGAGGTGGTGATTTCAGCATTGATCTTAAAGCAAAACCCAGCTTCTGTTTGAGCTCTTTCTTGTGCATAAACCGTTACCCTGAATTGTCAGCCAGTTTCTCATGGTAACGTGCTTGATGCAGAACAACGTGTCTTTTGTCTTGCCCTTGATGAGCCTGAGTACACTACTTCCACAGAAAACAACCCTGCTTTAGGAAATTTTTCCCTAGTAAATCTTGGCAGCCCTCTAGTGGCAGGTGCTTCCAAACATCACAAGGGGACGTTCAGGTCCTTCTCCAAGGTTGTGTTCGATTGCTGCTCATCACACCAAGGATTTCTGCAGTGGTATTCATGTAAACAAGCTGTATGAGCACAGACACTGCATTTCTCTAAAGATGGCTCGTATGGCTCTGAACAGCATTACTTGCCGTACAGCATGTCTCAACTTCCCAGCCTCAAACTGGAAATTGACGTCTGCATCATGTTTTGTGTTCACAAATCCATTATTCTGGTTAGGTTTATCCCTGTCCTTTACTAAATTTGTAGGTAGGTATAGTTCTGAAACAACACAGCAGCTATCTTACCAGAACACTGAATGTAATGGAACATTATTTTATTGCCTCGGAGAGCTTTCAGAACATCAGTTTTAAGTCCACTTTTCTGAACCAGGAACCAAGGGAATCAGTGTAATGATTTGTGCCCACCTTCTGCTCCACCTGAGCTTGTGCTGGGAGCTTTGGTGGTGTACATATCTCTTGCTATTGGCTCTTCAGCAGTCTTTCTCCTGACTGTAGATCAATCCTGGTGCAATTCCTTCCCAAGAGATGAACATCTCAACAGAAATCAGTCCCTCCATTTAAGAACTGGTGGCTGAATGGATTGTGGAAACCCATTTATCTCATGGCTGTGTGCTCTTACTGGAATTCATGCCTTGTTTCTGTGGCATTCATTGAAAGATGCTCTGTGGAGTTGCAGAGAGCACAGCATGGTCTGCAGAACTGACACCCTTTCAGGTGAGAGGGTGAGGAGCATGCACCTGTGGCATCACAGGTGGGCTTTAGTAGTCATCAGGGAAGCAGACACCTGGGTACCTCAGCCTGGTAACACATCTCCCTCGGTGTCACACAAAAGAACTCTTGTTACTTCATTTGCTCTTTTGACAAAATTATTTTGGTTTGTTTCAGTACAATTCCCGAGGATAGCACTGGCAGAGGTGTACCAGTGCTTTATGGCAGGCCTGATGTTTCCCTGCCACCTGTTCATTTATACAGTCAGCTGCTTGAAAAAAGCCCTGCAATTGAGGGAGACACAAGCCTTCCACTGCCCTCATTAAGTTGATGGGTGTCTCCTGACAACCACTGGTAGAGGTACAGAGCTGTAAGTTACAACTGGATATAGAAATGTGGTTTTCTTATTTACCTTTTTCTCTTTGCAGAGCTCCCAGCCCCCTGGTAAGAGGAAGGTGCCCATATGGTTTGGAGCCTCAGCATCCTCTGTTCTCCCTGTGCCCCAGACAAAGAAGCCCAAAGCAGATACAAGGAGAGGCATCTTCAATTGAAGATTAGTTTTGTATGAAGTGTTTTCTAAGACATGTACAAATGTTGCGTGTATTACAGCAGTGGCTCTTTTACACGAAGCAGTGATGCTTGATCCTTTTTTTTCTTCATCCCTTGCGAGAGGCATTTGAACAGAAAATCAATTCTGTGTTTTTTTTTCACTGTGTGAAATTCGTTATTAAATCAATCCGAGGCAGCAGCCTCCAGCCGCCCCTGCGTCCGCCATCTTTACCGGTCGCGCGTCACCCGGCGCTGCCCACTGCGGGGCGGTGCAGGCGGCGGCGCGGGGGCCGCTGGGAGCGCGGCGTTGCCCAATAGGAGCTGCGCGGCGCGGCTCGGCCTGCGCCTGGTGCTGGCGGGCGGGTGAGGCGGCAGGGCTGGGCCGGGACGGGGCTGGGGGGGAGCGGGCGGCAGCCCCGAGCTGGGGCAGGGCTGAACCCGGGCTCGTCAGGCGGCGGGCGGGCCCGTGATTTGAGGGGTTTGCGCCCAAGGGAGGCAGCCGCTTCGGTGCGGGTACGGAGGACAGCCTCCCGTCGGGGCCCTGCCTGGCCTCGCGTCACCCGGGTGCCGCTGTGCGGCGGGCTGCGGGCGGTGTGCTCGTGAGGGGACTCTGGGGGCGGGCGTCGGGTCCTGGCACGCACCGCTGCCTCTCGTTGTGCGGGAGGCTCAGGGCCGGCTCGGAGCTGCTGGAGCGTCGCGTTGTGTCTCGGTGCCGGTCCCATCGAGTTCGTTCAGAAAGAGAAGGATGCGGGCAACGAATTTTCCTCAGTACGTACCCGTATCCTTAAGCAGCTCGCTGGTCTTCTAATTCCCCTTTCTGTTCTGGTTTCCTGCACAGAGTTATGGATCCAAGCTTACTGAGGGAGCGAGAGCTGTTCCGAAAGCATGCCCTCTCCACGCCTGCGGTCGAGAAACGGCCAGCGTCATCCGCTGAATCCTCGAGCTCAAAAAAGAAGAAAGTAAAGGTAGAGCAAGGTGGCCCATCGAGCTCAAAACAGAGCTCAGGTTGGTAACAGTGCCCTGCTCAACAATTGGTTGCTGTTTGCCACTGTCTGCTTGTGTGTTTGTTGGCATGAAATGGTTTGTCCAGGAGTTCTGCTAGCTGTAATCTTTCTGAAATTGTCTCTTTTTACTAAGAAATACAGTGCATGATGTGAAAGAATACTTCTGCCTGCAAGGTCAGACATCATTCAGTGACTTGCTTGCTGTTATTCAGTTGGAGGAACTGTTACTGCCAAAACATTACTTTGTAGGCAGCTGGATTTTACTTGGTGAATGTCAGTAAATGCTGGTGAGAGGATGCTGAAAACTAATTATCAGCTGAAAGTCATAGACTGCTGTGAGATGAATCTTGTTATCTGTCATGTCTGGATGGTGCATAGTGGTTAGCAGTTCTCCTTTTACCTAGGAGCTAATTTCTGTTCATGAACAGTAGGGGTCCCATAGAGTTGTTTTCTGCCTTAGTCGGGAATTCCATTGTTTCCCTGCAGTGGTGGCACAGCTGACAGCATACCTCTTAAAATGAAGTAAGTAGTTCTTAAGAGCACTGCCAGGATTAGTAAGAGCAGATGAGAAGTGCGGTACAGAGAGGATTCGTGTGCACATGGTGCTCTACTCTCTACAGTTTCCCTTTGTAGGGTGGGTAACTTGGGTTCATTATTAGTAGCTCTGCAAACCTTGACGTAGTTCTCTGATGTGCTGTAAAGAGCAAACATCAGGAATTACTAAAATACAAAATAATGCTATTGTGTAAACGCATCGCATACTTGCATTTTGGGTGCCATGTGCAACTCTTCTAAACTTTAAAAAGAACAAAACAATGTAACTAATAACAGCAGAGAAAAATCACAGAAGTTTGGAAAACACCTCTGAAATCATCTAATTCAGCTATCCACCTACCACCAATGCTGCCCACTAAACCATGTTCTTTAGTGCCACCTCTGCATGTTTCTTGAACAGCTTCAGGCTCGGTGATTTCCACCACCTCCCTGGGCAGTGCCCAACCACTCCTTAGCAGAACTTTTCCTAATACCCAAGCTGAACCTCCCCTGGCACAACTTGACGCCATTCCTTCTCTTCCTCTCGCTAGTTAAAATACCAAGGGTAATGGGAGGAGCACAGCATCTCCTGTATGAGGGAAGAATAGGGAGCTTGCGTATCTTCAGTTTCTCAGAGCCTTAAGGACAGACACCTGATTTTATCAGCCAGATATTTTAAAATAAATCAGAAGATGTGAGATTTCTATTTGCCACTTTTGCCATGCTGTCCTCCGAAAAAAATTCATGGGATATCTTAGTACGCACCTCCTGAGTGAGAGGGGTTTACAGGGAAGGAGCAATAGACATACAATTCGTGTGTGATTGTTCTGGAGGATTTGAGTAGCTATGTGAGCAAGCGACTGAGTAAAGAGTGTGATTTCTTGTTTTGTGGGGTAGGTTTTTGGTGGTTTTGAACATGAGAATGCATGACTATGAGGAGATATGCTTTATCTTTAATGGTGCTGGCTTTGTTTCAGACAATATCAGACAGTTTTCAGGATTTTTATAATATTTTTGTGCAAAGTGAGTACAGTCTCCTTTTTTCCCGTATTTACGAACTACTGCAGAATCATCAAGGGTTGAAGAAGAGAAATGGAAAGGGAATCAGCTTTTCTTTCCTTCCTAGGAATTGGCTCAGACCAGGTGTGCAGAAAGCCAAATGACAGAAGGGGTCAAGCAGCCATGGACACCAGTTTCCCCCTGGTGCTGCAGGGTCCAAGTCCTGTGCCTCAAAACCCAGTTTTTGTTTGAATTGTCAGATTCCTAGGTACCTGTCAGGATATGTGCATGGCACAGAGAGATCTTGGGGAGACGGAGTAAAAAGTGATGTTGAAGAATTCCCAGCCCCCTTTGCCTTGAGAGAAGTGAAAACTAGGAGAATTATTCCTCATTCTGTTGTGTAGTGACCATAAAAATAACAATGTCCCAGTAAACGTATGTGAGCACAAGTAACCTTTGATTTTGCAGAGCCTCCAAATCCCCCATCATTCTTTGATTCTGACTCTGAGAATTTGCCTTTAGCTCTTGTCTGGGGAGGTGGGGCATAGACATCATGCTAATCCTCAACCACACAGCTAAACATAGCCTGCATCTGAAGATTCCTTGCGAGATTTCCAATGAAAACAGTTGTCACTGTTGCCTAAAAACTATTGTTTGAACAAGCTAGCTGACCAAGTTGAAGAGTGCCTTGTTTACTCACTCCAGAGTAGCAGTGAGAAAATAAACGAAAAGGATCATATCTTTTTATTTCTTTTTATTGATCAATAGCGAGTCTTTATCTTGAAATCTTTGTCTCGGTGGTCTTGGTCAGAAAGAGCTGAAATCTCTGGAAGCTTATTCCACAGCTTTGCTTTATGTGAGGAAAAGAATTCTCCTGAGGCTCTGGAGCTGTGCAAGAGGAGTTTCTTCTCAGTTCCTTGTTTGCTGCCTCCTATATAAACCCATGAGTAGCTGGAGAGAGTCCTAAGTCTTCCTGTTGTGTGTGCTTCTCAGGAAGGCGTGAGAACACAAATCCAGCATCACAGAAGCTAGTGTTATTTCCCACGTGCTGCCTTCTCCTGTGCAGGATACCAGTCCCTGAGGACTGACTATGAAATACAGTAGAAGGTAATGAGATGTTTCCTTGGTCCAGAACGCAGCAGTGACATCATCTTCACGTGTCCTGCTTTGCATCCTCAATTGTCTTGTACAAGTGTCCTCAAGTGTCCTGGGACGCTTGATTCCATTGGTTGTGCTTATTGTTCAGCTTCAGTTAAGAGCATTCTATGCATGTGGGACTCATGCTGGCAAGGTTTAACAGTAGTAACTGTGTAGAAGATGAAAGTTTGCAGTGGTAAATGTGTTGGTTTGTGAATGAAGGAAGTAGATGGCTTTTCTGGATGAACCATTGGAATTTTTTGGGTAGTGGTGGCCTGGGTCTTATTCCGTCTTACTGACCAGGAAGACCATGAGTTGAATTGGTGAGCCTTTTGGTGTATGTGTGTGTCCAAACCTTTTGGAGCTTAGGCATGTTAACCCTGAGAGTGGGAGTTGGTGTAGTTAAAAGGAAAAAAAGATGAAAGGTAGTGTCTGTGGCACTGAGGTATTTCTGATGGGGATAAGGCAGCAGGAGCTTACTCGCTTGTAGGTTTTGCTTCTCTAATGTGAAGAGCATTATTTATGTAATTAACCACCTTGTCCCACATGTAGCTTCAGTCTGGTTGGGATGTTTCCTGCTTGCCTGTTCCTCTCTGTGTCCAGCAGCAAGACAGAGACTTAACAGGCTGTACTGAAGGCTGTGCTGTTGATTGTTGCTATTACAGCTGTAATTTGTAAAAACAAAACTTCACTGTTTGAAAACCTATAGATACAACACAATACAGAGGAATGATGTGGTAAGTTACAGGTAAAAGCTGATAGTCCAAGTTTTATGTGTTCAGCTTGTGAGAGTGCTGAGAGGGGGAATTCTGGAATGTATCTGCAGGTTGATGAAGTGAGCTGAAGTTCAGTTGTGCAAAACAAAGTCGCGTCTTGCTGTGCATCCATTCCACTCTCTCTTACGCTAGGCTTATCATGATGTGGCCTCCTTTGTGAAGCATATCAACACCTGGAAACTGTGCTGGCTGGGAGAAATTATTGTCACTGCTCTGGGAAGATTGCAGTCTGTCAGCTTGTGTTTTGGCAAGAACTCTGTCAGCTGTAGTTCAGCTTTGAGAAGTTGAGATAGGAATAAGATCATCAATATGTTGAATTCCCTGTAGTGTCATAGTTGGCACAGAGGCAGCAGCCTTGGGACAGAAAGATGACCCTGCTTCTTCTAGACCATGATCCCACTTCAGTGTGCTTTTGTGGAAGCAGTCAGATAGTCTTAAGGTAGTGCAGTAGTCATGTCTCAACTCAAAAGACATTAAACAGGTTGAAAATGAAGTAAGGGGAATGTGGTTCTCTGGAATGGGAGAAAGGAGGAAGAAGAGGTCAAATTATATTGTAGGAGGTTAGAAAAGGCTATTTTAAGGATGGATTTCATCCTGGCTTGCTTCCCTCCCACCACCTATTTTCTTTAAGTGGTGAACCCGTAGTAAGAACAACTGCTGAAGGCAAAAATTCACACAAGGCTCACATGGCATCTCTTGCCTTTAAATCCTTGTCTTTCATCTGTTTTTCCTTAATCCTTTATGTCTGTCTTGTCCCTGTGTGATTCACCACAGTGAGAGAAGTGTGCTCTATCATTGTGCTATGTAGAATTGGATTGTTGAGCATCTTTCTAAGTGTTTTCTCTGGCTAAGCAACATAGTTTTGTTCACGTTCAGCAACACCATTTGTTCAGATAGTCAAACATCTACTCTAGTAACTCAATATGAACAACAAAAAATGATTTAAAAACAAACAACTTTTCTTCCCCCATAACAACGGAACAGATCATCCTTCAGCTAAGTGCCCAGAAAGCCTTTGCTAACTGTTTAAGTTCACAGCTGGAGATGTAGTTGTAGCAGTTATCATTCTATTTTAGTCCAAAAAAAAAAAGCCAAAAAAAAACCCCCCAAAAAAGCATGTAACTCATTCGTCCATAAAGTACAAGTGGTTTGTTCAAGGTGTTGCATGGTCTCCACGTGCTGATGATCAGCCTTTCTTAAACCACCTCAGTTTCACGCTTTCTGAAGCTGTTCAGCATTGCTCTAACAGGGTTGGGTTCATTCTCCAGGTCTTTCACAGTTTTATTTTTCACACAGCAGCAGCAGTCTAGCATTTCATAGAGGAAAGCCAGCACCACCAGAGAAACTACAGTAAAGATGAATATGATCAGAATAACAAAGCAGGCAGTGCTCCAGTTATCGTGAAAAGGGTAGATTTTTTGCACTTGAAAGCCCAAGTACTGGTAAATAGATGTTGTCTCGTTCCAGTGAGTGGCGTTGAGAGTTGCCATCCTTGAAGAGTTGTCTTAGTGTATTTCCTGTCACAGATCTGGGGGCTGAAACAGAAAAACAAAGCTGTTGAGGATTCTGTTATCAAGAACATGCTGTGTTTTGTTGTTTTTATTTAATCCTAAATTAGAAAAACTTTATCTCAGACTGTTCTTGCACCTCCTACAAAAATACAATGCTGAATACGCATACTTGCTCTCAAAGTATCAAACCAAAAGGTGCAACTTGGCAGTTTGTCTGGAATGCTGATTACTGTTCCCTAATGTATGAAGCAGCATCAGTTATTCGAGACTTTAGCAGTTCATTTTACAAGTACATGTGAAGACAAGAAGGTTACTGTTTTCTGGATGTACGGGGGTTTCAACAGCCTGTGTCCTTACTGTTGACTTGTAGATTTGAAAGCAGTGCTTGGAACTTTCTTATTGTCATTTGAGTTTGCATGCTTTTTTGTGTGCTTTTTCCCTCTATTGACATCAAATAAATCCTTTTTTAAAAAAAGTGTAAACTGTAACTGTCTTGGAGGATTTTTCCGAAGAACGAAGCTCAGCTTTTCATTGTTGTTCACATTCACAAAAACAATCCTGGTTTCTGAAAACTCCTTATTCTGGATTTGCCCATTAGTACTGACTTGTTAACACTACAAAACCTTCCCAACCTAAAAAAACAAACAAAAACAAAAACAAACAAAAAAAACCCCCACAATATTTCCTGAGGTGTTCCCCAGTTGTTCTTTCTGCTGATATGAAATTTCAGCTTGAGAAATTTAGCAGCCTCATTCAGCTGCCTCTAATTCTGAGTATGTTCCATAGAATCGCAGAATATCCCGAGCTGGAAGGGACCCCTAAAGATCATTGAAGCCTCTGTGGAGCCTGCAGTTGGATCATGCAAACATCTGTGCTGTGTTCAGGTGGAAGGAACACCCAGCCCAACCCCTTCTGAGATCTGCCGCCTTGTTTTCAGTCACCTTCTCCACTTAACTCATCCCTTATCCAGTGCTGCCTGTTTGTACCAACAGGAGGCAAGACTGCAGTGTGGGAGGAAGAAAGTGAGAAGCTGGCTTCAGCAGATGCGCCTTTGGCATGAGTCATATTGCTGTAAAGATGGTCTGTTTCAGAAAGGCCATTGCTAGGAAGTGTGAAAGTAAGCAGTGTCTCAGTAATTGCTGCAGTTTCTCTAGAACAAAAAGCAGTTTTGTCTGTCTCTGTACTTCTCTGCGTTACAGCAGATGAGATGTTTGGCAATAGCATCTTTACAGTTGGGAGCCTTTCCCCAGTTTCTTTCTTTCCCTGGCTTTGTCTCCCAAAACAGAAGGATCTTATAGTACTTTAGATATATTTTTGTTACTTTAAGACTGTATACCGAAAGAGCTACACTAACTTGTGTTTATTTGGTTTAGCCACTGGAAGATGAGGTAATAATCTTTGAGTCCTTCCACCAGTTTAAAACCAAGTGTGGGAGAAGGACATAGATTCATTTGACTGTATTCTGTTGAGAAGGTAGCAAGTTTTTGGGTGCGGCGCGGTGCTGAGCAGTACCTGGGATGCCAGCCCCCTGCCTGGTGTGTAGACTCCTTGGTCGGCGTGTGCCAGTTAGCAGATAGCTCCCAAAATACACTTTTGTCTGTTCAGGTGCTGTCGAAAACATGGGATTGTGGAAGGGGGGAGAGCTAAGAAAGTGTTGACTGTGTGGAAACCTGGAGTTATATTTCCATGTCTTAATAAATGAAAGATTTTTGCTTTCAGAATGAAGCAAAAAGTGGGGATTTTCCTACGTTCATTGAAAAATAGTCCTGGCAATCTACACATGGTAAATTCAGTAATTAAAACTGCGGAATAAAGGGTCAACACCAATGTTTTGTTCATTAAACTGAGCCCGTAGATAATGCTGTAACAAACCTTACAGACATACTTCTGTAGTCAGCCTGGTGAGGAAGTGAGAACTTGAAAATGTCCGAAAGAGCAAGAAGTGGCAAAAGAGAACTGCGATGGTGTCTACTGAAATGGGTTCCTTTACTTCAGTTAAATCGCTTGTCATTATTTCTGTGTCATTATTGATAAAGAAAGGCATATTAATGAAAACCAGGATGGTGCAGCCAGGTCAGCTTGTGACGTACATCTTGCTGTAATCATTTAACAGTTACATACTTGGCTCTTTATCTTTCCATCTTCACTGGATCTAATTGAAACAGATCAGTGTTGCTGTTGAGAGGGAGCCCTATCTCTAGCATGTGACAGGCATTTATTGGAGGAATTGCAGCACCTCACCTGCTGTTTCCTCTTTTAACTTTGCAGTTGAGGCTGTAGCGCTGGGGCAGGTAGGCATCAGCTGCTGCTCACTGTAATTACCAGTGTGCAAAGCTGGAGGAGCCATTGCCGAGCCGTTCGAATTAGTGCAGCACTAATGAGGGTAGCATCTTTGAAAGCTGTCAAAAAATAGGCTGGTCTCACATGGGTTTCCTTCTGTTGTAATGGCACAATTTAAATTCATATTGTAAGCCAGTTCAATTTGTATGCAGTTCATCTCCTGCAACATTTAGTGAGTTAAATATTTAATGAATTTGGTTCTGTAAAGAGGGAAATGACTGGCAAAAAAGATGGTTTCAGAGCAGTGCTGAGGAAGTCCTGTTTAAGAAGCCAAAATAGGTATCTTGGGGTTTACAAACCCCCCATAATACATTAACAAATCTTGATGGATTCTCACCTTTTTGTGTGGCATCCAGTGCTCCAGTACTGACAGTAGTAATGATACCCAAAGGGGATGTCTTCCTACTCTAACATACTGATTTCTGGAACGTGTTTCTAGCATACCCACAAACACGCATTTCTTTCAGCTACTGCAATTGATGAGGTTTCAAAATACCCATTTGTGAGATGCATTTGTTAAATTTCAGCTTCAATGATTGCTTTATAGGGAAAATCCTTTCCACGTCATTTCTGCAAAAACATACGATCTGTAACAAGAGTGAGGCTGCAGAAAGCAAGCAGCCTCAGCAGTAAGCATCAAACCCATTTTGTTTCCTGAATCTGGGCTTGCTGGGTTAGCTTTTCTCTAAGATGAAGTGGTCATCAGTTTGCCATGAGCACGCAGACGGTGGAAGTGTCTGACAGTGCAAGGCAAGCACCCCGAGTTCGGCAGAATAAAATCCAGCTAAACCTCGAGAAAAGCAGTCCTTGTTCTAAGAGGCTTTTTGCAGGCTCGTATGTTACAGGCATATTTTCTTGCAGCAATCAAGACAAACGTAAGGCAGCATTATAAAATGATGTGCACCTACCTCTTGTCTGTACGGATGCTGAGCGGGCGCCGTGCCGTTCCCTGTTTTAATGCAGCCTATGGCACAGCTAAGATGGAGCTGTGCTGCGATTGGCCGGCGTGCGGTGCTGCTGACAACTTCCTTTATGCTCATTTCCATCTCCCCCTCACCCCCAGCAGGAAATCATTCACAAATATGACTCTTACTGCCCGGATTGAGAAAGCCACTCCTCTCATTTTTGGGATGTGCATGATGAGCTTGTTAGCCAAGGGGTACATGGCAGCGGCCCTGAGCTATCTGCTTTGCACTGGGACTCAGGCTGTGACGTTTGGGGTGTTCCTCCCTGCAGGGCCGCAGAGGAATGATGTGTCAGGGACTGCAGGCAGGCAGATTGAACGAGATAATCTTCGAGAGTCAATTGACAAAACAAATACGCAGTGAGTCATCTTAGCTGTAGCCCAGCCCTGATCTTTGTTGTAGGCACTGCCCATCTCTCATTATGCATATGATTTTACAACGCTTCCTGCAAAGCAATTAATTTTTTGAGTGCAAAATGAGATCCTGTGGAGGAAAATCTTTATAGGCGGGGTTTGTAGGGAGGGCTGGCTTTTGTTGTTTCTCTCTTAATTTAGTAACCAGAATAGAATGTTCTTATGTAGCTGGAGTTCTGCTGGTTATCCTGCGTGAATTTTAGAATTGGTATGTGTAAAAATGGTACTGTGTAAAGCTTCTAATAAAATGTCATAGAATTGCTTCAGAATTTGCAATTTCTGAGTTTTGGGTTTGGATTTACCATCTCTCCACATTGATGCCAGTTACTGTATCAGTCTTTACAGTAATTACTGAAAGCAGGTTTATTTGACTGAACACCAGGTTCCCGCTTTGTGTTGCCTTTCATTAGTGACTTACAGATCAACTTAAGAAGTAAGCTGAGATGCAGAGGGAGAGACATTAACAGAATTTAGCTGAGCCACAGTGATTTTGGAAGCTTAATTTGCAGTTTACCGTGAGAAACTTAGCGAGGGCTAAGTTAAACTTAAACCCAGGGAACATCACCATTTCTACCTGGTGCATTTGGCAGTACTTCTCACAGCACAAGCCCCTGAGCTCTTCTTTTCCTTTTTGTTGCCACTCCCGTGCGTGCCTTCCAGTTGCCCAGCATGGCAAAGCCTTCACTCAGCAGTTCTGCAGCCTCTCCTGCAATTGAGGCACTTCCATTGCTCTTTCCTGTCCCTGCACTCATTTTTTACAGAAACAATAGGAACAGATGCAGGTACAGATTTTGAAATTTACAGTGGATTAAAAATAAAGAATAAAAAAAAAATCCACAAACATGATGACAACGAGGGGAATTTTGCTTTTTTGGAGAAGTTAAGGTTCTGAAAAGCTATTTTTGTTAGGTTTGAGCAACGTTACGCTGGTAATGGACCCGTGGCTTCTGGTAGCGGTCTGTGGATGTTTCTATTTAATGTACTGCATTGTGCAGTTAATACAGTGTCATTAACTGAACCTTACGAGAATGTTGAAACAAATTTTGTGCTGTAACAGACCTCGTGGTACCTGAATGCAGAAGCAGGCTTAGCAGCAGTGGTTGTGTGAGCAGCGCAACACACTGATCGATGATCTTGAATTTATGATTTCTTTGTGATAAACTCTCTGCTAGGGTTACTTTTCAAACAACTGACAAAAAAGCAAAACCACCCACCCAAGCCCAGCACAGTAACTACAACCTTACTTTACTGGATGAGTATTAACTGAAATAAGTGAAACTTTCTGCTCCTGGCTCAGCAGTATGGAGCAGTCAGTAGGGAAAATTGCTTTGAGTGTGCCAGTTTTATGGTGTAATACTGCAGTTTAATGCTGCAGCTGCTTGCTCTTTTCTTAGAGCTCGTGTCCCAATATCTGTATAGATACTGAGTTCTGCTCGGAAGCATTCTAGAGCCAGCAGGTAGCTGTGTGTCTGAATCCCCATACTTACACACAGAGTCCATTGGGAGACTGCTCCCAAAATGTGCTTCTATTGTTGGCTGTAGAATTAGGTTCTGACAAGGGTTGTTGAAAGCATTGTTTATTTGTTTATTTTCTCCTTTCATAGATCACAGCAATGGCTCATTTAATTTGAAAGCCCTTTCAGGAAGCTCTGGCTACAAGTTTGGAGTCCTTGCAAAAATAGTGAATTACATGAAGGTACGGTGGTTTCATGTAAAAGTATAATGTTTGGAAATGCTTTAGTTAATTTTTCTCTGTGGTAGCAAAAAGATGCTGAATATTTCAGGCCTTAAGATTTCCTTACTGTGCAAGAGGAAGAATTTCAAGAAACTAGGCTGTTAAATTTAAAATGCTGTCAGTAAACAAAGGGCCCATTATTTGCTTCATTTCTGGAATCCCAGTTATTCCAGGTCTGCTTAAAACCAGGAGAATGGTTTTTGTTTGCATTAGAAATAGGAATTTGAAGATGCTATCAGCTTTCAGGATTGATGAGCTGTTTTTCAAAATAACTTGTAACTTGGCGCTTGACAGATAATTCAGTCATTTATCTAAGCTGACACAAACTGATTTTGCTCCTCATCATCAAAGACCTAACATTGGTACTCATATGCTACGTGTGTTGTGTCGCTCTTGGTTTTACAGAAATTGTTGTCATCACTTTCTGCCAGTTTTCGTTACTCTCCGGTAACTGAGCTGCTGAATAAAGAACTACAGAGCACTGATTGATCCTCTTTATTCTTCCAGACTCGGCACCAGCGTGGTGATACACATCCATTAACTCTAGAAGAGATTTTGGATGAAACGCAGCATTTAGATATTGGACTCAAACAAAAGCAGTGGTTAATGAATGAGGTAAAGAAAAGCTTTTGGTTGGAGATTGAAGGATTGAATCTCAACTGTATATTTAATTGCAGACACTATAAATATTGAAGTTCTGCTTCTGAAAAGCTGCATTGCTTCATGTTTCTGTCTTGTGCCACCTGCTATAGAAATTACTGAAATGAAAGCTGTTCTGACATTTTTAAGGATCAATTACTGTTACTACAGTTAAGAGTAAGTTGTATGTCAAGTGAATTTCTTCATTGCTAGTTTTCATTCTTATAGTGTCACTGCAACTTGCTGCTGTGTTCATCTTTATGCTTTATCAATCCAAATGTCTTCATGGCATTGCAAGACTAGTAAATCAACAAAATCCTGTATTTGGTATTTATACCTTATCAAGATCTCGTTTTGCTGGTATGGTACTTAGAATCCTTGCAACAAAGTAGTAAAGGCTGTTGATACATGCTGGGGGGGGGATCTCTGTAGTAAAAGTAGGATGTTTTTAATTAATACTAATATTCTGGAGAACAGAAAACTGGTAATGCTGCTGTTATGAAAACTTGGCTCCACTGAAAGCTTTGAAGAGTAGGTCCAGGTTGTTTCCATAACAAATCAGAATTTTGGGACTGAACCAAAAAGCTCATGTAAAATTATCACTGAGTTGGTAACCCGTGATGATACTGCATGCACAGCAAAACTGATTTGGACCAGATCTTAAGTCATTTCAGTTGTCCATGAGTTTCTGGTCAGCTTTACTCTGAAGCAGCACTGTAAGTAAAATCCTACTGTGCAGCATGTCTGCTCTTCTCAGTTTCTGCTACAGCTGCTGGTGCCAATTGGCAGCAGTTGGGGAAGGCTGACTCGTGTTTTGTTCATGCCAGGATAATGCCTTTCACGTTCGTAACATCCATACAACCCAAGTTTGAACTGCCAAGTTGTCTATTGGCACTTCATGTTCAACCAAAGCACACTTTTTCTTGTGTTCCACCTTTTTTTCTTTATTGTCATGCCTTTCTCAAAAAGGAACACATGCGCCTTTGAGACTTGAAGCTTCTTCCTGCCCAAAGGCATCGAGTGAACGATGCTAAGCGTTTGGTGCTTTGTGCTGTATGTCGCCCTGAGTTAAGCCTAGGCTGGATCTGAGATCCAAGGACTTAAAGTTTGTTTCAAATCTCCAAACTGTCAGTGATAAACACGTGGCTGACATACTGTAGCTCGTGAAGTACTAGTTTGTTCTCTTTCTGAAGGTTCGTAATTTATATTCCTGTTACAGGCTCTAGTCAACAATCCTAAAATAGAAGTTATAGACGGGAAGTTTGCTTTCAAACCCAAGTACAACTTGAAGGATAAAAAGGCTCTGCTCAGGCTCCTGGACAAGCACGACCAGCAAGGGCTGGGAGGAATCTTTTTAGAAGAAATTGAGGAAGGGCTACCCAATGCACATAAAGCTATAAAGGTGAGTCATGCCTGTCTGGGCTTCAGCAAAACTCTTCTGGGTAAGTTCTCAAAGGGGAAGTAAAAGCTATGAGAGAATTTTTTCAGAGTTCTTTTTGTTCATTTGGAGACTCAAGGTCTGATTTAGTACCTTTTCCTGTGTATCATCCTTTACGTTTACAACTGACCTGACATCTCAGCACAGCTGTCAAAGCTTTCTTACAAAAGGTGCTTTATGTATTATGTTGCAACTGAAAGCATTTAATTGTGCTTTTATACCTTGATCTTGGCCCTCGGTCTCTCTTCTTCGTTTTATTAGTGCATTTATTGATGGTGTCCACTTTCGATGCTTCTTTTTGTTGCTTGTTACTTCGCTGCTCTCCGATTCATTGATCTCTTTGTGGAACAGGATCTGGGTCTGTTATTCTGAGAGTAGAACTGATTTGAGATTCTTCTTTTGCATTTCTTTTCAAGGCTTTAGGGGACCAAATTCTCTTTGTTACCCGCCCTGATAAGAGGCAACTTCTTTACTACAATGACAAGAGCTGTCATTTCTCTGTGGACGAAGGTAAGTGTTTATTTACATCTGTATTCATGCTTTAAATTCAATGTAGACAATTGAATGTCTCTTAACGTGATAAGAAAATACTGGTATATCTAGGTTCTGTCAGCAGAATGGTATATATTAACGTGATGATAACAGCACTAGCAAACGAGTTCGGGGATAATAACCTCTGTTATCTATTGGATGCATTGGTACATGGCACCAGGAACCCAACAATTCAAGTATAGCAGAACAGAAAAGAGGAAGAGTTGCCCATCTGTGGCTTAGATGACATCTAACATTTTCCTGCATAAAGGCAGATGAAGAACAATGAAATTTCTTCTGGGTTTGCGTGCTGCTTTTTTACCCAGCTTTTTCCCAATCATGTACTTCTGTTGGCAAATGCAATGAGGAACCAGAAGTTGAAGAGAAGGAACAAGCAGACAGGGAGGAGACATAAGCAAAACTACTAGGAAGATGTGGTTTACAACTGGGAGGGCAGCCTGAGTGCAGGCTGGTGCTGCAGCCTAGAGCTGTAAGTGGAGCTCCAGAGCTTCAGCACGTATTTTTTTAATCTAATGAATAGTGAAGTCCTCTGCAATCAGTGTGCCCATTGGCTGAACACAGCAAGAGTCCAGGTTATGCAGTAATATATGTATCTGCAGAAATTAATTACGCCTGTCAGGGTGTGTTGCAATGATGATGTCAGAGCCAACATCAGATATCTGTAAGTACAGAAGGGAGAAGGCATTCCCTGGGAAAAGACCTTATTTTAAATGACTCAAGGACACTGAATACTTACTGTTGATCACTTGTTCTGTAACATGCCACATGAAGTCATATTCTAAAGCATCACATTATGATAAAAGAACAAAAAATTTTAATTGGATTTTTAACTGCTGCATGTGCAGGACCGTAAAACAAAACAGTAAAGTGCTTTTTCCTTTGAGTAACTCGGAGAAACTATTTTGAACAGAATCATGCGGCTTCTTTGTTACATACCAGACGTAATCTGTTAATAGTTTAGTTCTACAAAGATAATTTAGTAGATGTCACCTACAGCATTTAAAAATATAAAGATAGTTTCCAAACATCTTCAACTGTTGTACAGTCAGTGAATATACAGATGATATAGTATATTTGAGAGCTTGGCTTACATAATTATTCTACTAGAGCAGAAAAGGATACTCACCCTCTTCTGGGCTCACATAGGAAACTCCAGTAGAGTGGATCTCCAGAAGAGATCCTTCCCCACTGGTAGCCAGCTCTTAAATGGCTCTAGGAGAGGTGCAGCCAGGCTCCACCCCTTCCTTCAGCACAGGTGAATTGCCTTCACCTGTGCGCCCATGGCTGACTCATTGCTCGCCTCAGGTGATCAATCAGAGGTCCAGGCTGTGATTCAACAGCCCCATACAACTGTAATTTCTTTGTCTCTTTATGGTGGGCATCCTAACAGTATGTGAAATGAAAGATCATAAGCCTGTCAGCCTTTATTGGGGAATTTGTAACTTCCCAAATGTCTATAAGTTTAGTATTAATGCTGTCAGCCTGTTCAGATTGTGTTTCTTCAGTCCATCAGCCCATGGCTTTTAGGATTCCTAACTTTGCCAAGACCTTTAGAAATCAGCTCTCTTGCAGTCAAGTTTTAAGTTTTTTTAGCAGCTACTGGTTATATTTCAGTTCCAATTGCTGATTATTTCTTTTCCAGATAATTGGTTGTGGATGCCCCACCCCCTGGAAGTGTTCCAGGCCAGATTGGATGGGGCCCTGGGCAGCCTGGTCTAGTATTAAATGGGGAGGTTGGTGGCCCTGCCTGTGTTAGGGGATTGGAGATTCATGATCCTTGCGGTCCCTTCCAACCCTGGCCATTCTGTGATTCTGTAATTGGCACCCAGCCACTCTAAAAGAGTTAGCAGAATCTCTATTCTGTTGCTTTCAGTTTATGATAACTCCTGAATTGATTGTGAAATTGAATCAAAGGGTCCATTTTATTGAGAAGTTCTGATGAAATCTACCAGCTCTGTCAGGGAGCCAGTACAAATCCAAGGCTGTTCATATACAGTCTTCATATATTCTAGCACATGCAGTACTGATTGGTGGTTACGAGCAAGCAGTGCAGACCTTTGCTATAAAATAAGGGAAAATGTTTTGTTAAAAAAAAAAAAACAGCAAAACAAAACACAAAAACAGCAATAGAAAACATAAAATGTTTAAGCCAGTTGGCTCAGTCTCCCAATGAGAAAGGCATGAAAGCCCCTCATGTCTGTGATGAAGGGACCACGAGCATGCAGTGTTTGCAGTTCAAGGTGGCCTTGCTTGCTTTCATCCGCAGGTGGCAGCATGTTCCCATCAGCAGAGAGGGATTTTTTTGTTTCGCTTTTGTGCTTTTTCGGGTTTTTTATATATTTTATTATATATAATGATATCTTCTATCATGCAGAAGATAATGCTTTCTTCTGAGAGAGGAGGCAGAATATTCTCTCTTTTGTGAGATTTGTGATCTGCCTGCATGTGCCACAAGTCTTACAACATTCCTGAGTGGGTTAACTTTGTTGTTGCAGCTGGAATAGGTCCTTTTTCCATGCATGTTATCCTGAGATGAGAAAAACCCATCCTTCCTGAGCAGTCTTGCTTTGAGATTGTTTCCAGAGCCCTGGAAGCACGTCTCTTAGGGAGTCCTTGGCAGAATCATCTGCGTACAGGATCAGCTATGACACGTTCCTTGCGTTAGCAGTGCTATTTCAGCTTGTTATCTCCAGCAACATTAAAACTAAGTTTTTTAGAAGGCTGCAAATAAGCCTTGAAGAGTTCTCAGATTCTTTGATCTAGCAACTGATGATAGTTCAAAATATGTTTCTAGTTTAATGCTTATCCTTAGAAGTAAGGGCTTTGCACTCCTCAGAGCGCGGTTTTGCTGCATGACACTCCAGTTCTGAACATATGTTGGCTGGTGTTATTGTCCTCCATGATCCTCTTCCATTGCTGTCTGAGCTCCATCAGCAGTCAGTGAAGAGAGAGGTGCGTGGGGTAGTTTGGAGGTTGCTGCCTAAAGCAGGGGGACGAACTGTCTGGCAGTGCCTGCGTTTGCCCCGACTGCAGTTGTTTTGGTGGCTGAACAAGCTTTTCTTTCTCTTTCGAAAACAAGCTCCAATGTACTTCAGCAGCGGTGCAGTACCCTATATCGTTATCTCCAGGGTACTGGGGAAGGTATGTGTAGTGAGGAACGGCTTTTGTTCTTCCCCTTATGTGATTAGCCAAAGAAGGTTCAGATTGCATGTGTTCCTTCTTCACTTCCTGACTAATTAATCTTCCGTCACTAATGTGTAGCTGAAAGGGTTTATAAAAGCCAGGCTAAATTTCAGGTGCTTCAGCCAAGGCAAGCACTGCCTTTTTGTGCTGGGGCTAAGCACTTTGCATGTGAAGCAAGCTTTCACTGGGGGCCTGAATGCTAAAAGGCCATTCCGATTGCTTCACTGTTAGAATTGATGTCTTTCACCTCTGAAGGAAACATAGGAAATACTGTAATGCCTAGAAATGTGGATATTTGATTATACAGATGTTTAATAGTCTTCCTAAGCACCTTTGAAGAGATTTTAAAGAGTGGCAGAAGCCTATTAAATTTCACAGTATAAAAATTGCTCAGGATCAGTTGATGACTAATGGTTTTGGCCTTGAATTCCAAGATGGTCCAGGCACAGCACCAAGTTAAAATCGGGCACCTTTTCTTTCTGGTTTAAATGTAGAACTGTTGCAGAGCAGGACTTTACGTCCCCTACTGCTCTTCATTTCTTTCCTTCTGCCCTCTCTGCAGAAATGTTGTCGTCTGTTCTTGTCCTGTACTCAGGTTTTAGCTCAGCTCAGTGGAGACTCTTAAGCTGTTTTTAATCTCTGACAGATTTTATTACCAGTATGATACAGAAGTTTATCTCCAGAAGCCATCTCAACCTTTTTGCAAGAGCGGGCAAGACAATCAGAGCTGCAGGGTAAGCTGCAGGAAGCCACCGTGCAGCCACTTACCCATGACACTGTATCCCAAATGTAAGCATTTATAGAAGGAGAGCATGTTAGGTTATAGTAGCTCAGGGAATGATGGTGAAAATTGCTTTTGTATATGAGGCACCCCAGGCAATAAATCTGCGGAAACATCCTTACCCCTCAGATATTTCACAGAGGAAAGCCATTTACAAAACTTCTGTTGTGCTGCCCTCTGTTCTGCTTTGTGTATTTTTCCTGCTGGTCCAGGTTCATTGTTTTAAGTTTGTGCCTGCAGACACTTTGATGCTAGAGATGCTAGCGAATACTGAAGTGGCCTTTAGGTCAGCTTCATTCCCTCCTTCTTGATCTGGATAAGCAGGGGAGCAGCCTGCGAGTTGTGCTAGTTCTGCCAAGCCTCTGAGTTGAAATATTTCAGTGATCAAGTTGCAAGATGCTGCATGCATCAGGATTTGTTCACTGAGGGTGCTGCAGTCGCAGCTCGCTGCCTGTTTTGGTGAAGATCTGCACTGCCGTCAGGACGTACGAGTCCTCTGCTGAAAACATACTGATCTCCCTTAGGCTTCACAGCCCATGTTGCTTTGGTCAGAAACTCTTTGGAAATTTCTTTCCAGGGGATTTTTTCCCAGCTCTATCTTGTCATAGCAACCTAAGTGACAGGAGTTGGCAGCCTGCTGAGGTCAGGTGCAGCCTTCCTTCTTGACTGCTGAACAGCCTTTGCTTTCCATAGCTGTTACTTGTTCTGGCTTAGCTGTAAAGTAGTTTTCTGACTCTGAATGAAGAATATACCACCTTCACCATGCTCTGTTGGCATAAAGATCACTCAGCAGTTTACAGGACATAGGGAGGGAAAATACAGTGTACTTCAGGATTGCTATGGTTTTGTGTGCTGCAGGAATGCATGCATCTGAACCTGTTCTCTGTGCCTGGCTGGAGCAGACCGGTGTGCAGCGAGTTTTCTGCTTCAACAGTCCCCTTCCTGCTCTCCACAGCAGGTCTCTGCAGACCAGTTCCTTGTCACTGGCCCCTCTCATGAACTACTACAAGTAGTGCCCCTCTTTTTTGCTAGGAACCACAAGAAAGTCCAGGGTGACTGTGTTTCAATTTCTTCTTCAAGCAGCTGGAGAAATCACATCCTGTCATGGGTTAAGGGTATGGATTTTAGGCCTGGAGTTGGCTGAAATGTGGGTGATTATTTCTTGAGAGTGGTGGTTATTGCCAGCTTTTCACATAGGCTCTCATGTTTCAGAGGGGATGTTACAGCAGTTCACAGTGTATTCCCAAGGTCTAAACTTTCAGTTGCTGATAGGGGCATAGTGCTTGGAGACTTTGAATAAATCTGACAGGTAATATGGAAATGGTTCACTGCCAGCTGCTCCCTCTCTTCATTTCCTGCATTTAGTTCAGTATCTGGTGTGACACAGAATCGGTTTTGTGATGTGATGATAGATGTATTTCTTCGCTTTTTAGATGGAACCCTGAATACAAACCACAAGCATGCACAGCCATGTGAATGCATCCCCACCTTTATGCTGAGCCAACCCTTTAACACAGAATATTGCCAGGGGACAGTTTTATTGTCATTTCTCACTTTCCTGGGCACTAAGGTATTTTAATCCTGTCTATGGAACTTCACCACGGAAGCTCTATTGCATTTACTGCAGTCAAAGCTACAGTGCTGAAAGCTGCCTGATTGATGGAGGAGTATTTAAAAAGAATGGCTAAATGCTGTGAGGTGATTCTGATGGGGCCAATTAGTGAATTAAACTATCTGTACTTAAAGCCCATTTTAGCGTTGCGGTATTGGTTCTTGGTGACTGTTAATTCATATTTCTTAACCAACTTTAAAAGGTGATTGTGAAGCTGTAATGATGGTATAACACTGCATTACAAGAAATGCAAAACGCTGTGGTTAGATATTAACTGTAGTCTGCACTTCTGTTGTTGTTAATCCTTCAAGAGCTGACCATTTATTTTCTAGTGTTTAATTTTTCACTTCTGTTCTCCAGAAGAATGTAAGCTAGTTAACCTTAAGTACCTATCCTCAGCTTGGTGGGGTTTTTTTTGCACCAGAGCATTTTTCCATGTATCGTGTACTCTAACAAGGAGACAGGTCACTTGTGTTTGCAGCAGAACATGGTAAGAAAAAGACCACTGTTTTTTAAAAGTGAATAGTGACCAATTCTCTTGATGCCATCACCCAGCATACACTTGCCTGTCACATCTTAAGAGAACTGCCTGCATCTCTCACAGGGCTCGTCTGTGCACAGCTAAAGGCAGCAGAGTGCAGCATGGCCTGAAAGCATCTCTGCCTGGAACCTGTTTAATATTTATGTGTTTATATGCACTCTTCTCACTTCATGCATGAATTGCAGAAACGATGGTTTGGAATATGGTTTCTTTCAGAAGTGTGATACTGAATTTGCACAGCCATCACGTGGTCCTTATTTCCAGCCACTAGCGGGTCTGAGTGTCCTGCTGAGTCCCACTTGGGTGCTCAGGACAAGGAAAAAGGAAAGGGCCTGGAGGAGCATGCCCTGCTTAGCCTGAGGGATGCACTAGGACCCTTTCTTGGGCTGCAGCCTTTAAGGCTTATTTCTGAGAAGGCTGAGTGCTTGTTGCTGAGAAATGTCCTGCGTGAGTTTGGCTTTGATCTTAACACAGCCTGTCCACCTGCTGCAACAGGATGAGGTGAGAGACGATCTGTGAGAGCAGGCACTGCAAGATACCCCTAAAGCCAGGAATTGCACCAAAAATGGATGAGCGGACAGAGAATGCTTTGGCTACAGTGCTGCTCCTTGCGTTACGTTATCTGAAAGTTCATGTCTCGATGGCTCTGTCATGCTGTACAGCCTGAACACAAGCAGTGGGCTAAGCACTATCTCCTTGTAACCAAAAGTGGCACTCTGACAGGATTCAGTTTTCAAAAGCACTGCGTTACCAAAAATGAACATTTGCTGCTCTTCCCTGGCAAAATTCCTTTCTTTTGTTTCTGGAGAAGCTCGAACAGCCCTTTACTGTTGGCAATGAAAAGAAAAAGAAGGAGCTGAGACTTAAGGCATGCCCATTCTTAGAAAAACAAGATGCATTAGGAAGGGAACGGTCCAAGTGAAGGATGGAATTCTGTTCTTTATGGCTCTGAACGGGACCATTTGGTTGCAGTGTGCCCAGAGCCGGTGTGTTCGCAGCAGATTGTCACTGGAGTGTTTCATCGCCTGCTGCATAGGACAGCTTCTTACACATGCAGAAGTTGTGGTTGTTTTGACAACTGTGTACTAAATTTATCTGGAAATAAAGGGAAAAATTTAGTCTTGCGTTGCTATGTGTGCCTCGTGTTTTATTTATAGATTGTTAGCCAAACCTGCTGACAGGATATATCTAACTGACTGCCTGGGGAATGAAGGGAGGTAGAACTGTACCAGCCGCTGCCGGGAGAAGGCATTCCAGAGGCTCTGTGAAACTTTACATGAGGCAGAAAGTGCTCAGGCAGATGGCAGCTGCTCTAATTAAGACTTACTGCCTCTGCCTTTTTTCTTGCTGCTGAGGTTTTTAAGGTGTCTCGCTTCTTTTTATCATCAGAGGAATTCTAGTAATTTATTATCCTTAAAACATGGTTTGTATTAGATTACAGTGATAAAGGAGCTTACTACCACTGAAGTTAAATGTCTTCAATCTTCAGTAAATTGGACTATGAGATGGCAAGTCTCCCATGACAATGGCAGCAGAAGTTGTGTAAATGAAGTTGCCATTTGTGGTTAGTTATTACCTTTCACCAGGACCAGGTTTGAACTGAGGCTTATAAAACACACTCACAGTCTGCTGTGCTACAAGGTGCTAGGCAGAAGGGTGGATGCCATAGAAAATTACCATTAAACGCACACATTTTGCCTGTGGGTGCCCCTGAAGCTGGGATGCTGGGGTGCACTTAATGCAGATGTGAATCAGCTCATCTTTTTCCATGAATTGTTGGTGGCTTTTGTTGTTGGCTGCTTTTGGAAGTGCATCCGACTTTAAGAGTGGGTAAAGGCTGCACTAATTGGGTGCCTGCTGGCAGCAATAACTGCATTGCAGGCTGGCGTATCGGAGTACTTCAGTGTCTGAACTCAGATCTGTTTCATCTTTCCTTTCGTGCAAGGGCTTTGCCTGGGGTTTGTTCGCTGAGTTGTGAAACGAGGGTTTGTTTGGTGTTTCAGAGTTTCGGAAACTGTGGAGAAGCATTCCCATGGATTCTATAGATGAAGACAAAGTTGAAGAGTACCTGAAACGACAGGGTATTTCTTCCATGCGAGAAGCTGGACCGAGGAAAATAGTAAGAGATACAAATTGCAGATCTTTCTGAGAAATCCCCCCCCCGCTGACCCTGTGATGTTAATTCCAAAATATGTTGCTGAGCCTATGCGCAGCTGCCTTCTGTAGCTCAAGGAAATGCAACCAATTTTAAGAAGCTGTAAAAAAACAATGCTGAAGCCAGCAGCCAGTGTTTTTATAACTTGTTTCAGCCAGCGTAATCCCAGAAACATCAAGAAGCGGGCAAATGCCAAAAATCCCTGAGAACTCCAAAGTGGAAGCTTCTGCTTAAAGCTGTACAGTACGTTAGGAGCAAAACAATGGCAGCTCTTCTGGGAGAAGGTTTTCTCTTCCCTTTTTCTTTTCTGCTGAACGGCCTTGAAATGTTGATACGAATTGTGTAACCTACCTCCCACTGCTCTTAGGCTGTTCCCCATACAGAGTGCAATATGCTCATGCTTTACTGGCAGGCCAGAATGGCATCAAGATCTCCAAAGATGCTTTCTTCCTGGCTTGTAACAAATCTGTTGTTTTTTTCTTTTTACACTTACTGTATGTGGCATACCATCTCTTTTCTGTTGTGCACCTGGCTTCAAACTGGCTTTCACAAAGCCCTTCCACACAGGATCTGTTCCTGGTTTCTGCCGTTGCTACAGTGGATGTTAGAACACCTGCTGTAATGTAGGCACTTCTCTTGTGTTCTGCATATTCTAGATGTGTGTTTGAGCACATCGTTGTGGCTGTGGGCCATTTAACTAACTTCTGTAGTTGCCTCGGAACGTTCAGGGATCCCACTTTTTAACAAATGCCAGCTCTCCTTCAGCACACAAGATACCAGGAAGCTCTGCTGCATCCCCAGTGCTAATTCCCCACCAAGATTCGAATTGAATACAGTTGCTTCCTGCATAAATAAAGACCCCTCGCCTCCTGCCTCCCCCCAGTTCAGCTGTTCAAGCACAGCTCTCCTTCGGAGTGAGGCAGTGGCTGCGAGCAGCACAGTGTCCCACGTCAGGTCAGATGTTGCAGCTGGAAGGCAGATCTTTTGACTACCATTTATTTCTTCATTTAGGCTCCTGCTCAGAGGAAGAAACCCACTTCTCAGAAGAAACGTCGATTTAAGACTCACAATGACCATTTGGCTGGAGTCTTGAAAGATTACTCTGATGTCACTTCTGGCCAACAGTGACTGGCTGAATTTTGAAGCAAACAGACGTTTTTCTACAGGCTTTTTGCCACGCAGACTCAGCGACTGCTTGCAGGAAGACTGACTCTGTATAGTGATGTGTTCCCTTCATCCCAGTGACTGCCGAGATGGAGCAGATCAGTTTAAGAGCAAGTTTTAACTACTAAATTTAGAGTTTAATTTAATTAGCTAATTGGAAATGTGTCTTCAAATAAAAGGTTCGCTCAAATTGCCTCTTGGCATAGAGTGATAAATGGTGCTCAGCATGAAATACAGGAGTTCCTGTTCAGTGCTTAACTCTGCTTTTACATTGCTTAATGGGTGTTACCTGGAATTACTTAAGAGGAGCTTTTTCATAGAATTGAATACAGCATTGTTGTACCTATTGCAGGGAAACCTATTCCTAAAATCACTGCAGGCAAGTTTCTTTTACAGTCAAATACACCCACAGTTTGTTTGTTCCTGCCTTGCTATGGAGTTGAGCTTTCCCGAACTGATGGCACCTGAGGCTCTGACTCAGAACAAGCCCTCTCCAGAACTCCAGGCAGGCTGCAGGGGAGCACTGCAGCTGCTGCTTCGTAATGCTCATCAGAAATTGCCCTCAGCTATTCCTCCTCGCTGTAGCGGATGCACCTCTGTTACACAGGCAATTTCTCCTCACTGTAGTGGATGCACCAGTGTTGCACAATTCTACTCATGGATAGGGGAAATAAATTGACAGCGTAATACTACAACTTTTTTCTTTTTTTTTTTTTTTTAAGTAATAAACTTACAGTGCTGGTTTCCAATGTTTCTTCCTTAAAGAATGTGTGAGTTCATACTTATATTTTCTTTTTCAAAGAGGTAAAGGAGTCTCTGTTGTGTTTTAATCTTCTCAATGAATTACTGTTCTGGGCTAACATTGTCATCTTTTATCATTCTTGTTCGGGGGAGGGAGAAAACCACCTTAAAAGAAAGCTTGCTGTAGATGCCTGATGTCAGTTGCAGTACAGACTGCCTGACATGGAATGTAGCCAAATTATGTTCTCTTGATAACTTGTTTTTACATACTGAACCAAAGTCAGTCAATGCTGATATTGTTTTCACAGTACTGCAGCAGAGGGGCTGTTCCTCAGCTCTTCTGAGGTTAGGATCAAAGATAAAGCAGGTGAGTGTGATACCTGCCAACAGTTTGCTGCTGCCTGCGCATGAGCTGCTGTCTTGCCTGATGTATCAGGATTGGAGCAGAGGCTGCTGGATCTGGGCACACCAACAGATGAACAGAGGCTTTGTTGGTGGAGAGCTGAACAGATTACGTCTGCTTGGGAAAGCAGGAGAAATTAACTTCTGTAAGTGTAGCATTTATCCTTCTGTACAGTACACTGGCTTTTTAGAGAGTGCTCTTTTATGAAGCAGGCACTTTGAACATGGTACGTGTCAATCCTGTGTAAAGAGATGCTCAACACCAGTAGGAGGTTCCTTTTCTGTTTATGTGTATATATATATATAAAAGCAAGCAGCACACTGGTTTTGAGACTTGTTCTTTCCCTTTTCCAGGCTAGCACAAGTGATTCATCTTGGAGCTTTTTATTTTTCCGTTCTAGTTCTGCTTTAAAGCACCCATGGCACACCTGCAAAACTGTTCTCTTCTATCATCTTCATTCAAAGACAAAGACTCCCTTCTGTGTGCTGCATTTTTGAGCCATGATTTTTCTGGTGGTGCTGCTTGGACAAAAGCAAAGCTCTTGGTGAGCTATGCGTTGCTTTTCACACCTTAATGTTAATGGAGTACCTTCTCCAGTCATCTTGCACAGCCTGACTCTGTGCTGTGGGCTGAAGCTTGCAAGGCAGGCTGTGATGCAGTTACCTACGCAGTTTCTCCACTGAAGTGATTAAGAGGGAGACTAAAGATGTCTCTGGCTACTTTCAAAGATGAAAATTACATTAAGTCAAGAAATAAGAGAGCAGGAAAGGAAGATTAGCTCAGTGTGCTGTGGTGGCATTGTCACGCTCCAGTGTTCAAAGGAATAGAATGGTCCAATTGATGTCCAGTTAGGAAGACTAGACCAGTTGCTTTCTCTTTTTTGCGGAACTAACAGGGAGGGCAAAATAGGCTTTGAAACTTGTGAGGGTAGAGTCACAAAGCTTGAAAAGAGCTGACAGGATGCCTATGCTAGCCCCTGAGAAGTAGCACAGATAAACAGTCACGAAGAAAGCACAAATCCAGGAAGTGAGCAAGAGCTCCTCTCTCCTGTGAGAATTTGAGGAGCTGAGTTCTATTTCTGTATCAGAGGTGCTCCCAGCTGTCAGTCCTATGTCTTAGGGGGGGGTTTTTGTTTGTTTGTTTTTGTTTTCCCCAATACCTCTTTAAAATGAAATGGTGTACCTTGAAAATGTCTCAGACAGTGCCAACGTGAGTCTATTTGCTGAAAGCATTAGTAACACTCCTGTCCACTCGTTCGCCTCACAGCATTATGTCCAAACAGTTTTTTTGGTGAAGTTTAAAGTAAGAGGTCATAGCTGTTAAAACCTTAAGGCTATTTTATCTTACTCCACAGTGTTCCCATCTGTTTTTGCCATGCAGGGTGCTGGCCCAGCTGCTGCATCTCCTTGTCTGGATTCGCCAGGCGCAGAGAGGTGTTCAGCTCCCCTTCCGTGATGCTGGTGGACATACGGACAGGGCCCTGGGGAAGAGACAGCTTTCTCTCAGTGTCAGGAGCTCTCAGGTATGTCAGTGCTGCCCATGTCATCCTTTTGCTTGCCTCATTGAATCTTTAGCCTGTGGCTCTAAGAAGGCTGCAAGCTGTGGGGAGGAGGCATTTTACCCTCTGCGTGGACAGCTGTAAACTGAAGTGGATCAGGAGAGGTGTGAGCTGAGCCCGTTGCTGCACACAAGTGAGCATCCAGGCCAGACACTGCCGGGTATGTGCCTGCTCCTTTCCACCCCCAGAATAAAAGCCAGTGCAGGTGAAATAGCCACAGGGAGTCGCAGCTCTGAGCATGGAGGTATCTTGGTTTGTCTCCTAGAAGTTGCTCTGGTGAGGAGCTATTCCTCCTCCCGTACAAAGATCATTCTGGAAGGGGGTGGAAAACAGCAGGATTTTGCATGGTTGAATGAGAAAATTGACATAAGACAGTTTGTACGAGAGCTAATCTATAATTCATCATGATCATTCCAGGCTTTTAGAGAGCAGGGCAGGGAGAGGCAGGAAGCCCTGCTGCGCAGCATAAGGCCCCCACACGTGGATGCGGCTGGCCTGCGCTGTCACTTTGATGAGCACGGGCAGGCATTGCTGGGCCACTGGGGATGGCCGGGCCCCGCTGCCTGTGGGTGAGGAGGGGCTGCAAGCTGCAGAGAATTAGAAGCAGCCTTGGTACTGACATCTCATTATTTCCAGCTTTGTTGCTTGCTTTCTGCTCGCTGCTTATGTACCAGGCCGAAATTCCTTAGTGTGTTACCGCCTCAGGGACTGCTGGCAGCTACTTTTCTGGGAAAGGGTGTCTGATAGAGCTGATGGCATACCTGCCACCAGATGAGGATCTGATGGCTGTTGGGGAGAGGAGAGCTCAGCCCTTGGTAGGCCAGGCCCGAGACCCCACTTTTGATTCCCTCGGTGCCACCCAGCTTGCAGTAGAAGCAGGTCTTGTTACTGCTTGCTGGCCTTGTCTCCACTGCTTTGGAGTGCCAGCACGTGCAGCAGGTCTCAGTCAGACAGCCATAACCTTGAGAGCTTCATTTGGGACCCACATGCTATAGGCTGCGTCATCCTTGTGGACTGAGGGTTGTGCAGAGCAGGGGAAAGGATGATGAGGGCAGGAGGTTTTGTTAATTTTTTGACTGTGCCTGCCCTTCTGCGCTTACATCCAAGGCCTTGAAGTACTTGTGCAACTTCTTCCCATCTCCCTTAGTAATATTGTGTTCTTCATTCCCTCCTGAGCTAGTTATTAATTATGGAGGCTGGGGAGATGAAGTCCAGACTCTGCTAATAGTTGACTTACCCATATTGTAGAGGCAGCATTTCAGCAAGCTGCTAATAGTCCTTCTCAGCTTTACACCCTTCCACCATGTTGGTCTCTGGCCTATGGGTGGCAGTGAGCTCAAGTCCTGCAGTCCAGCCTCCAGATCTTTTGGGCCTGCCATGCCTCCCTTGTAGTTTCCCTCCCAGCCTGCCTCACCAGCAACTGTGCAGCCTCACTTGGCCCCATGCTGCCTGCCTAAACCCTGGTGCCATCCCCTCTTTCCTCTCATGGCCCTGTTTCTCCTTCCCCCGACTCCAGCAGAGCACAGTGGGAGCACTGCCACTTGGCCTCGGGGCAACCCTGTCTGCCCTTTGCCCTCCCTCCCCAGTGCTCAGTGCTGTCTGTCTGGTCTGGGGAGCCAGCAGCGGGGCTTTCCCCCTCCCTTTGCCCTGGAGAGCGAGGGCGCAGGAAGTGGCTGCTCTCATCCCCTGTACCTGGCTCAGCCTTGACCATTGGGGACTGGAGAGGGAAGGCTTTGGGAGAGTGGGAACATTGAGAGTGCCTCTTCCGTCTCGTTTTTTCAAGTTGTGCCTGTGTGTACCCATGGGATTGTCCATGGCACTGTGTGGCAGCATTGGCCTGGGGCTCCCCAGCACCGTTTTGCAATGCTGTCGGCGGGGCCTTCCTGTAGGCGTCCAGCTGTCCCACGGGGAGTGCAGCCCCAGCCTGTGTGGTGAAAGGTCAGCGCAGGCAGAGGGGATGCCGGGCCTGGGCAGGCAGCCATTGCTCCCAGCCCTCATCAGCGAGTGGAAGGCCAGCCAGCACAGCACCAAAAACATTTTAGCATAGAGGAAACAAAAGAAGGGGCTCAGGATGTTAAATGTTTTCACCTTCTTTTTGCTTGGCAGCTCTTGTGTGTAACCAGGCAAAAGCCATGAGCTCCCTCAGCCCGAGGCTGCTCACTGCTGTGCTGCTCCCCAAGCATGCTGCGCCTTGTGCTGAAAGGGTACAGTGTGGGCTGGCTCCCATTGCTCTGAGCCAGGCAAGATGTGCTGCTCAGAGCGAAAGCTGTGACCTGCAGTGGCCGTGGGTGGATTAGCATCCAGCACTGAGGCCTTAACCCGTGGCTCATCTCCGCCAGATGTGCATGGCTGAGTGACACCGTGCCTCTCGCCCGCCCCAACCAGCGAGCCGCATGTGCTCGCGTCCTTCAGATGTGCTTGTGAGACTGAGCTTGCTGCTGGCACCATGCTGCAGGAGCCTGACTGCTGGTGGGACTCCTTGGGGGGCCACCCACAGTTATCAGGGTGGGATTTGATGGAGGAAGAACTCAGAGCTTGGTCTGATGGGATGCTTTTTGAAAATTCTCAGCGTGTTAAATAATAATAATCTGGCCCATCGTCTCTAGGTTACATTTGCCTCATCTGCAGCTGAGCTCATGGAAAATCGCAGCTTAGCTCCCGCACTCAGTGCCAAGATGGGGAGTTTAGAAACAAACCGATAACATCTTTATAAACTTGGAGTGTTTCTTACAGCTTGCTGCTCCCTCTTCCTGCCTGCTGGAGCGCTCCTAGAGGCTGAAGGGAGCCAGGCAGCCGCCATCTACCCTGCAGACCCTGCTGCAGTACTTGGCCAGCTGGGGGGATGCCTTTCCCTCGAGTGTTTGCTGGGATTCTTGGCCCTGTCCCCAATTAGAATCACAGTACGCCACACTCCACGCTTAACTTACAATAATCACTGGCTTTATTTTTAAAAAATTACAATAGAAAAGTACCTTTAAACATATTTCCAAAAGCGGAGAAGACAACATGGAAGCTCCTTTCCTCTCCACAAAACCAGAACAAAACACAGGAAACGGTTTGCTACAATAGTCCTTTGCTGGGAGCGCTGTGCTGTCCCTGCAGAGCTACCTTGCTTGAGGCACTGCTGCCCAACCTGCTGCATGCTGGTGGCTCTGTGGCACCCCCTTCTTGCCCTCACCTGGACAGCTCTGGCAGCCTTGTTCCCTGCTGCTTGTGGCCAAAGCAGAAAATGGAGGAGGGAGAGAGGCTGGGAGTTCTGCTCAGGCAGTTAATGGAGATGGGGTTGGCACCTCCTTTGTGAAGAAACAAATGGGTTGATTTTTTTTTGTTTTTTTTGCTTTGCTTTACTCTTCCTCACGCCAGTTTCTCCTGGTGCAAAGAGGATGCCAGCATGCAGTCCCTGTGCTGGATCCATCCCACCCTGTGCTACCAGCAGCCTCCCTTGGGCTCTGCTCCACATAGACATGCTCTGCAGCCAGACTGGCATCACCAGGTGCTGAAGCTGCAGTAGAGCCCTGCAGCCATGGGTGCGTATCCCAGTCCCACGGCCCGGAGTTGGCGGGGATCAGAAAGTCCAGCTCCTTGCGCATCAGTCTGCATTGCCCTTAACATCTTGGAGAAGCCATGGAATGAGAAGGCGAATTCTCACCTTGCTACATGTGTGGACTGTCTCTGCCCATCCCTGAAGCGAGCATCACACCTTGCCGGAGCTGTGCAGCAAGCCGTTAGCATCGTGCCAAGGTAAGAAATCTGCCTGTCATGGCTGGCGCCACGTGCTGCAGACAGGAAGGGAACCCCAATGCTGGCAGAGCGTTGGGGTGCAGTGGCAATGCTGTCACCGGAGCACTGTGAACACCACAAACTGTGCTGAGGCAGCATGTGTTGTGGCCTTTGGTGTGTGGCCCGTGGATGGGGGGGCAGGCTGCTAAGGGCGTGCTGCTGGAGGTTGAGCACAAAAACTGTCATCCAGCCCAGTGTGAGATTGTCCTGTTTAGAAGTTTGGTACAAAAATACTTGCTCTTTGCTTTTTTTTTTTTTTTGCAGTCTGCTTTCCTAGGGGTGTTTGAAAATACTTTTCAAACGCTACAGCAGTGCCTGTCAAACCATGCTTTCATCAGTAACACGCTCTTTCTTACAAATATACAGTGTAAAAGAGGGAAATATATTGGGTATGCTTCTCACTTTCTTCTAGGAGAACAGATGTGTGATAGAGGCTGTGGGAAAGTCTTGGAGGAATCCAGACTTGTGTGAGGTTTCTTCCTAGCCTGCAACAAGAGGGGCACAAGTTACAAATGCAGCTGGGTTAGGTGATGCTGCCTGGGGGAGTAGCAGCCAGCCTGTCCCTGTGCAGGCACATCTCATGGGCATGGGGTGGGCATGGCACTGGGACATGGCCGGTCACGAGGGCAGAATTAAGTTGTTCTGTGTTTAAGAGGAGTGTGACCAGTGTTGCCTTAGGGCAGGAAGCTGTGTGGCAGAGAGGGGGTGGGGTGACAGGGCAGTTGGAACTCCCACCCCCGCTGTGGATGATAAGCATGGGGACAGCCTGTGCCCGAGCACTGCGCTCCTTACCAGCACACTGTGGTTCTGTGGAGAGCGTGCGTGCCCAGCAGCCGCCGGGGGGCTCTGTTCATACCCACAAGACTGACCGTCGGCCGCCATCACACACCCGAGACCTGTGGGTGGCACAGCAGGGCTCAGGGATGGGGCTGGCATGTCCCCTTTCCTGCCCAAGTTTTGGCTGGCACCGCAGGTGCGCTCCAGAGAGGATAGCCTGGGGACAAGGAGCGGCTCAGGGGGCACTTACACAGTATTCAGCAGAACTGACGGGATTTCCAGCCCTGAGACCCAGCCTCGGAGGGAGGGAGCCAGCGCATCTGTAAGACATGGGGGCAGGGGGTGAGCAGGAAGAAAAACTGCGACCAATGGGAGTGTGGCTGTACCCTGGGGCTGCGGTGCTGATTCCTCCAGGAGCACAGGTGCTGCCTGTCAGCACTGCCTCGACAGGGGAAGTATGAGGCTGCAATAATATTTACCGTTGCTCTTCCTCTGGGCAGCTGGCCCCAGAGCTCACCTCCTCTCCCTCCCTCTAGCTCTGCCTGTGCCAAAGGCTGCAGTACTGTGGGCCAGCGGCATTACCTGGGCATGCAGCGAAGCAGGGTATGTGAACGCAGGAGGAGGTAGAGCAGGCGCCAGCTCCGCTGGGTACAGAGGGTACGGCCCCCACACTTCAGGGCTGCCGGGGTAAAGTGCAGGCACTGTGAGCTCATCTGCAGGAAAAGGAGGAGAATTAATCCTAAAAGCAAGGGGGAGGTGAGCAGCAGGTATAAGCTCTGCCCAAATGGCACTTCTGCCCAGGCCACCGTCACCTGCCCATGCATCATCCCAAAGCACAAGGAGCTGGATTCCAAACCCAACCACAGCTGCTGTGCCTCTCCAAAAGCTCCCCTGCACCCAGTTCCTAAGGTATCACTGCCCCAGCTGCTTGAGTAAGAAGGGGGCATCGCCAGGGCCACGTACTGGCAGGACCGGGGTCAGGATGCAAGCACTCACAGGGCTCCCTGGCGATGAACTGAGGTACGGTGTTGGGGAGGGGCGCGCTGGGGTTGGGAGTGCCCACCAGCTTGCTCTTGGCCATCTTGGTGTTGGCCTTGGCAAACTCCAGCCGCAGCGTCTGGGGGATCTCAGGGTCAAAGCGGATGCCCTGTGGGAAGGAACAGGGCAGCAGAGGTCAGTTAGCCTGAATCTCGTGGTGGGATGCTGCTGGCATCAGGGCTGTCCCCACATTCAAAAAAGCCATTTGGACTAAAAGGCTCAGATTTTGTCCCAAGATCCCCATGGGCTGCTGGGGTGGCCGTGACCTCATGCGCTTGGCAGCGAGCATGGCCCCGCGGCTCACATTCCTCTGACATCCTCGAGCTCAGCACCATATTTGGTAGTCGGTATCCCGTGCGGCCACGCTCCCAGCCAGGGATTAGCAGCATTTTGCCTCAACGTGAGTATGGGGAGGGACCAGGCTTTCCTGGGAGGTCTCCACAGGGTAATAGATACTGGGATCCATCTCTTTTGGTGTCCCCCAGGGGGTCCCGGCACTCACGTTCAGTGCATTCTTGGCGGCCTCAGCCTCTGAGCGGCTGTCAAAGCTCACGAACCCCACGGGCTGCGGAAAGAGGAGGTGAGGGGCAGTCAGGGCCATGTTCCCAGCACATCCCCAGTTGCTGAGGGCAGAGCCCAGCAGGTGGGAGCACGGTGCAGCCCCTACCTGCTTGGAGGTGAGCTTGATAAGCGACCCCTCGTAGCCCTGCGGGAGAAGAGAGAAGCACCATTGGTCTCGTGTGGCTGCGGAGGCCCTCAGAGCCCCGTAGCGGGTGCAGTACCTTGAAAGGCCTGAAGAGCAGGTAGAGCTCCCGGGGCTTGATGTCCAGGGGCAGGCCGCTGACAAACAGGGTTCTCACCTGCGTAAGGGGCAGAGCGTCAGCTGGTCACGGGCCTCCAGGAGGCTGCCCAGGGCCTCCAGGCCACGCTCCTGCACACAGCTCTGTGCTCACGGCCTCAAGGAAGTGCCCGCTGTGAGCTGCGTTCCTGAAAGCTAAACCCGCCCGAGCCTGACTTTCCGGGTAATTTAGCCCCGTGGCTGCACAGCAGATAGGAGAGATAAAGGCCCTGAAAAAAACCCTCTGAAATTAGGCCTCACAGAGATGCGGCTTCTCCTTGGTAATGACTTGTTTTCTCTGAAAGTTCAAATGCAGGTCGGCCAAGTCGGGCCAGTGCTGCGATGCTCAGTGAGCAGGGAGAGAAGTGCAGATTACAGCGGGATCTTGGAGGGGAGGGAAATCCCATTTTGGCTTTCCCCCCTGCCCAAAAAGAGAGGACAGGCTGAGGCTGGGGAAGGAATTGGGATGCGGCCTCCCCGGCAGGGAGCCATGGGGAAAGGCTGCCCTACTCTGCCACGGAGCGGGGCTGCTTCCTGACTGAGGCTGTGGCTCTGGAGCCTTCCCAAGGCCTCGCAGATGCCGTGAGTGCAGGCCAAGGTGGGCAGTGGCAGAATCCCCTCTGCAGGGGCTGCGGACAGCTCCCAGAGGGAATCCTCCACGCTGGTGGACTGACACCCTCCATAGCACCTGCCACCCTGATCCGCTCAGGCTTTCTGCCCGGCTCGCCTTCGCCCCTCACCACTGTTTGTCAGAGCCCAGGGCTGTCACGCTGTGAGGGCGGTGGACGCGCTCCTGGCAGCCCCGTGTCCCTGACCACCCCACCCCACATCCTCTGTTCCTGCTGCTGCCCACGGGCAGACCGGGGTACGGCCTTGCGCCTGTTTTGTCCCCTCCGTGCCGTCACCACCCCGCAGGTTTTCTTCTCGCCCTGGGAAGGGGACGGCGAGGGGGACCTGGCAGGCCTCGCTCCGGCCGAGAGCGGCCCGGGGGGGGGGTTTGTCCCAACAGCAGCGGCCGCGGGCGGTGCGTGGGGCACCGGGGCAGCGCCGTCGCCCCTCGCCTGCCCCAAGGACGCGGTCACGCTCCGTCGCCCCTGCGCCGAGCTCCGCCGGTCAACTCGGGCAGGAAGGGGACCGGCGGGAGGAGCGCGGTGACTCATTCACCAGGCATCCGATCACCTTCCCCAGCCCCGGATCGCTTTAATGTTCCACCAGCGGTGAGCCGCTCGGCTGCCCCCGTCCCGACCTCCGCCCGCGAGCCGTCCGTGCGCCCGGGCAGTCAGGGAGAGGGCGCAGCGGTGGGCGACGACCTCGTGGTGCGCCGGGAGCGGTCCCGCCAGGAGCCGAACGGAGCCGCCGTCCCGGTTCCCGGCGGCCGTCCCCTGCGAGGCTGCGTGCGCGGCCGCCCTGACACCCAACGGGGCTCCGTGTCGTCGCCACCTCCGCTCCCGGGAGACGGGGCGGCGCGCCCGCACCCTGCGCGTGTCCGAGCTGCGTCCCAAACCCCTTCCGCCGAGGAGCGCCCAGCTCCGGGCCGCTCCGGCCCCCCCATTGACTTGCATCGCTTCCCGCCGCGCCCGAGCCCCACGCCCAGGCTCACGCGACCCCGCGGACACGCGTGGGGGCCGCCCCGCTCCCGCCCCGGGACCCGGCCCACCTTCGGCGCCCCCCCCCCGGCCCGCTACCTCCTCCTCGGGCAGGCCCGGCTCGGCGGGGCCCTCCCGCTCGGCGGCGCCGCTGCTCATGGTGCCGCCGCCGCCGCTCCGCCACCCGCCCGCGGCTGCCTCCGGCGCGGCCCTGCGGCGGGCGGGAGGGAGCGGGGCCGGGCGGGGCGGGGCCGGGCGGGCGGCCACACGGCGCTGGGGGTGGGACGCGGGGACACGGGGTGGGACGGGAGGTGGGGGCTGGACGCGGGGCTGGGATGGAGGACAAAGGGCTGCGGTATGGGATGTGAAGTTCGAAATATGGCACGTACGGCTGGGGACGCGGACGTTGGGGTTGGGACGTGGGACGCGAGGTTGGGTACGTAGCACGTGGGGCTGGGAACAGCGTGGGGGACACTGGCCATAGGGCTGGGAGCACGCCGTTGGGGATACGGCACGCGGGCTGTAGGACGCGGAGCACAGGGCTGGGGGGACGGGACGTGGAACAGGAGGTCTGACAGGGCTGGGGACGGCCGGGAACGCGTGACAACGGCTGGCTGTGGGGAAGCGAGTGGGACGCTGAGGCTGCGCTCTCCACGCAGCGTGGCTGGCCCTGCTTTGGAGAGGCGGAAGCCCTTGGTACGGTGCTCTCAGCCCCTGTTTGGACTCAGCCTTAGGGGTGTCTGATTGGGACGGCAAGGGCCACATCCCCACCAAGAGCTGCAACGTGCCATCTTCCCCTGCACACAGATAGGATGGGCCGCGCAGACCGCCGGGCACCCAGGCAGCAGCAAGGCTCACCTGCCCGCACCCCGCTGCAATCTTGATACCTCTGAGCAGCCTCTTGCTCCAGCTCAGCACATGGCGAGGCCCGGCCTCCCTCTGCTGGCTGCTGCGGGATCCGTCACCACAACACGGGATTCGGGATGATTTCTGGCCCACAGATGTGGTACAGCAGCACCACGAGGTTAAAGGTGGTACTCAGCGCTCCTGGCAGCAGTTTGCAGCCCCCCACCATCACCCAGCCCTGAGCTTGGAAGAAAGAATGGCAACTGCACCCTGCAGCAAGAGCGGAACAACTTTATTCCCATAAAGCATGTGGAATGTTAGAGTTGGTGTGAGGGAGATGACAGGTCCAAAGCTTGTGGGAGCTATAAATAAAAGATACGTGCGAGAATTGAAGGATGCAGAGCCCAGCTGCTTCCTGGGCTGTGCAATGCCCAAAGGACAAGAGATGTCAGGCATGCAACTGATGGCAGAGGGCTTTCAGCTCTTAACAGGTGTGGACGCAGCCTTCATTGTCTTCTTCAGGTGATGGTAATTGGGCAGGATTTTCATCAGGAAGTCTAGTTGCAGTGTCTGAGGCTGGAAAGAGAAACACTGTCAGGAATGGGCAGCCACGAGGGGAGCCTGGGGACAGGGGGACGGAACCTACCTGTGGCCGCTCGGTCTGCACGCGGCGAAGGCAGTCGGCACCATAGATGACGGTGTTCTCAGGGATCACCTCATAAGTGTTGACGTTGCAGCAGGCCCCGATGATGCAGCCGCTCGTCAGGATCACATTCCTGCCAACAAATGCTGTAAGGAGAGTCTCTGTGAGGGCCACCCTGCTTGAAGCCACGCACTGCTGCTCTAGCAGCAAAAACTCCAAGCAGAACAAAGACAACTTGAGCTCACCTTTGGATTCAATTACGTTGTTATCTCCCACTTTCATTGCCTGTGAATCTACAGGTTATTGTCAAAGGAAAACCTTTTGCTTCTGGTTCAAAAGGTGTGCCCCAATGCCACTTTCAAACCAAAATCTACCCCGTAAGCACCCCCAGGCTGCCCGTGCCTGGGCAACATCCACACATTTCCCTGCAGCGCAAGGATACAGCACCCAACTTCAAAGACATTGTTGGTGCCGATGATCATGGGCTTGGGCTCCACCTCCTCAGTTTCTGGAGTGATGTTTTCTGGGTACCTGCGAGACAGGTGAATGTACTTTAGGTGTCAGCAGCAGCTGCCTTTACAGCAGGGCAGGAAGAAGGCAGCCCTACACACACCCGTTGATGATAAGTGCCTGCTCCTCTATTAGGTTGCCTTCCCCGATCACAATGGGCCCTGCCTCCGCGATGATCCTGGCCTTCGGGTGTATCACCGTCCTCGGCCCTGTGGAAACCGCCCCACGTCACCAGAGCCACCACCATGTACCCCAGTGGGTGACCAGGGCCGCCAGGTGCCACCCTTACCAATGGTGACATCCCCACGGATCTCGCTCTCCACACACACCACGGCTCCCGGTGCGATCTTCACGCTGCAGAGGGGACACGCAGGTGAGCGGTGCTGGGGACGCAACACGGGGCAGAGACACAATATGGGGCACGGATCGGGGTCTGCAAGGAGAGCCTTGGGGGTGCAGGGGCTAGGGGGAGGGAACGGGCACTGGTGTACATGAGGGGCTGCCAGGGGACACGGGAGGATGCTGGAGATTGAGGGGACTGCTGTGGCGCTCCAAAAGACTGGCGAGGGACATGAAGGGACTACAGGGACACATGGGACCGTTGTGGCACGTCAGCAAGCCAGTACGGGGGCGCATGGCACAGCTGGGGCGCACCGAGGGGCCAGGCGGGACGGTCAGGGTGCACACGGGAGCGCTGTGGCGCACGGGGAGCTGCCCGGGGACGGAGAGGGCCGCCGGGCACACAGTAGGACCGCCGAGACCCGGGGGCAGAGGGCAGCGATGCGACGCGCGGGGAGGTGACCGCCGAGGCCGTTGGGGCGCGCGGGAGGAGCGGCTGCAAGGGGGCGCGCGGCGGCGGCGGCCCCAGCCCGACCTCACCTCTTCTGCGTCTTCTCCGCCATGACGCCTCCGTCTGCGCAGACGCCGAGCCGCGCTGGGCGGGGCCGCTCCGCTCCTCCCAGCCGTAGGGCGGTGCCGCCGAGCGACGGGACGGGGTTCTCGCTCGCGGTCCTCGCGTGCTCTGCCCCCGGGTGTTTCTTCGCGGCCCGCCCGGCGGCCGGCTTGCTTGTCTCCGAGCCCCACGCGAGAGACGGGAGAACGCCGAGGAACGGGAGGAGCCCGAAGCCGCGGATCCTACGAGGAAGGGAGGAGCAGAAAGTTTTGTCCGCCGATCGCCTGCTTCTACTTTCGGTTTCCCCCTCGGTCCGGGCGCTCGGAGAATCCCGCTCCTCGTCCGAGCTTCCCTGCGGGGTCTCTCGCCCCGGGGCCGGGCATCGCGCTTCGGCATCGCACCTGGGCCGGGAAGGAGAAGCATAGCTATGCCGTGAGGCTGCTGGGGCGGAGAATGCAGCTGGGTGAGCAGTGTGGGGATCGGCTGCACGGGTGAATTTTTGCTTTACCGGGGGCTGAAACCCAGACTCACTGCCCTGTCTGGGGTTCGATGGGGAGATGAGATCGTTCGCCTTTAGGGGGCACGAAATGAAGTTCATTGGACCGGTTTTCAGGTTGCAGGAATCGAGGCTGAAGGCCTGTGGTTTGGGGATCAAACCCAGGCTCATTTGATGGGGAGGTGGGGCTCTCAAGGAGGGACTGAGCTGTGCATTCCCAGGTTTGGAAAGCAGAGGCGGACTGCTGTGTTTCTGGGGCTTGATGTAGAGGTTTGAAAACAGACCAAATGCTGCATTTGGGACTCAGAATGGAGCTGGAATAGGGACTCAGAAACAGCAGCTGATGTGTGATTTTGGCACTTTGGGCTCACTGAGTGGTGCAAAACAGACATGAAATTTAGCACTTTGGGGGGGCTCAAAACCAGGCTTTCTTGACCACTGCTGGAACTCGAACTGTAAGGCTACCACACATTTTTCAGTCTTTGTAACAAGCTCTTTGTGCAGATCGAAAAGGGAGACGATCCCTATGTGTTTAAGCTCAGACATGGAGACCAGGCTGGCTACTTCTGGGGCCACTCTTTGTCGGGTAAGGAGCTGGCTGGAGGGCCAGGCCCAGAGAGTGGTGGTGAATGGAGTTAAATCGAGCTGGCCGCTGATTATGAGTGGTGTTATCCAGGGGTCAGTACTGGGGCATAGCCTGTTCAGTATCTTTATTGATGACCGGAATAAGGGCTTTGAATGCACCCCCAGTAAGTTTGCAGATGGTGCCAAGTTGGCAGGAGATGTTGATCTGCCTGGAGGTAGCAGGCTGGGGATCTGGATAGGCTGGATAGCTGGGGTGAAGCCAATGGGAGGAGGTTCAACAAGACTAAGTGCCTGATCCTGCACTTTGGCTGCAAAAACCCCATGCGATGCTACAGGCTTGGGGCAAAGTGGCTGAGACACTAGAAGAAACAGACCTGGGGGTTATTGGTTGATGGTTAGCTGAACATGAAGTAGCAGTGTGTCCAGGTGGCCAAGAAGGCCAAATGGCATTCTGGGTTGCATCAAAAACGGTGTTCCCAGCAGGAGCAGGGAACTAATTGGAACTCTGTTCTCAGCACTGGTGAGGCTGCACCTTGAGTACCGGGTTCAGTTTTAGGTCCCTCACTGCAAGAAAGACATCGAAGTGTGTCCAGAGGAGGGCAACAAAGCTGGTGAGGGGTCTGCAGCACAGGCCTTATGAGGAGCAGCTGAAGGAGCTGGGATTGTACAGTCTGGAGGAGAGGAGGCTCAGGGAAGACATTATTGCTCTCTATAGCTACCAAAAGGGAGGTTGTAGTGAGCTGGGAGTCAGCCTTTTCTTTCGTGTACCATGAAAAGAGCTTGTTGTGCTCCTCTAACATCTTTATCAATGACGTAGATGACGGAATCGAGTGCACCCTCAGCAAGTTTGCTGATGATACCTAGCTGAGTGGTGTGGTTGACACAGTGGAAGGAAGGGCTGCCATTCAGAGGGACCTCAGCAGACTTGAAAGGTGGGCCTGTGTGAATCTAATGAGGTTCAACACAGCAAAGTGCAAAGTTTTGCACCTGAGCTGGAGGAATCCCAGGCATCCATACAGACTGGAAGGAGCAGGCCTTGAGAGCTGCCCTGCATAGAAGGACCTGAGGGTCCTGATGGATGAAAAGCTTAACATGAGCCAGCAATGTGCTCTTGCAGCTCGGAAAGCAAGTGGTATCCTGGGCTCCAATCAGAAGAGGGGTGGCCAGCAGGGACAGAGAGGCTTGTTCAGCCTGGAGAAAAGCAAACTGCAGGGTGACCTCATAGCATCCTTTCAGTATCTAAAGGGAACCTACAAACAGGAGGGGAGTCAACTCTTCGAAAGGGTAGATAAGAGGACAAGGGGAAATGGCTTGAAGTTGAGGGAGGGAAGATTTAGGTTGGATGTCAGGGGAAGTTCTTTACAGAGGGAGTGGTGAGGTGCTGGAACAGGCTGCCCAGAGAGGTTGTGGATGCCCCATCCCTGGTGGTGTTCAAGGCCAGACTGGATGTGGTCATGAGCAGTCCGGTCTAGTATTAAATCCATGATGTCTCATAGCATATCTGAAATTGGTCCAGTGTATCATACAGAAAAAAATGCCGACATAAAAGCTTGATTAGTTTTCACTTTATTTCTATATGACCTTGTCAGAACTGACAGTCCAATGTTTGCCTTTGCCTTCTTACTGGATGTCTTAAGTCAACTGATAGCTTACTGTATTGCTTTAAATCTTCCTTATGCCTCCCACATCACCATCTTGGGTTCTTATATCCATTTATCTCGTCTTTCTCACTGCTGTGCCAGCAAACAGCTTGGCTGGATGATCTCCAGAGGTCCTTTCCAACCTCGACGATTCTGTGAAATAATGCTTTTAGAACAGTGACTTGTTCCAACTTTGTTCCTAAGTAGGACTGAGAAGAATCAGTTGACTCTTTCTGGTTATGTCTGGGAGCTTGACGCTTATTTTTTCACCTACTTAATTGTGAGACTTTTTTCTTAGCCAGACAGTGAAGTTGGTGTTGGAATGGTATCTGTGTGCTTTGACAGGAACTTTTCTTTATTATCTCGTGCAGAACATGAAGATGGAGTTAAGAATTGAGCACATGTGGGATGGTTTACCTGTGAGCCACGACCCCGTAGCAATTGCACTTCAGTCGTATGATGCAGGTCTGCTAATGCAAGTGAGTGCTCCCTTCTTCAATGATCCTCCAGCGCCACTTGGAGCGCCAGGGAAACCCTTCAGAAAACTGTGGGACTATGAAGGTAAGTGTAACTTCTGCTGCAAGCATCTGCTCTGTGGAGCCACTGATGTTCCTATGCAATTCCCATACCTGGTCTTTATTTAAGATTCTCCGGTTATTTTCTAAAACTTGTTCTAATTTGACAGCTTTATCCTGAGCGCTCTGGAAAAGGCTGCTGGCAAAAAAACGTGGTTGTAACCAGCACCACGGTTAAGAAAGCTCCTGAAGTAACATGAACATCATGTTGTATTCAGCTATAAATCAAGAGAGAGACTCTAGTTTTCATCACATGAACGACAGCAAAGTGAGCGGTCAATAAATAGAACTGTGCTGTTGCCTTTACAAAAGCCCTCGAGGTTGGGATTACAGCACAGCTCTTGAGTTAGAAAGCGTCAGTCGCATGCACACAGTTAGTCAAAGTCAGGGATGGCACGGGCCAGAAACCTTTGTGAAAACGATTGTGAAGGTCTTGGAATATAGCAGAACTGACAACCAGTATAAAATATTGACAGCTTGTCTCTTTGTAAGTTGTAGAAGCATTTTTCTTGAGTGACGGAAGTGAGCAGTATCTAGAAGTTGAACTTTGTCTGTAAGTACAGCTTGCTTAAAAAGTCGTGAGTGCAATTTATGTTTCTTGTTTCAATGCTCGTGAAGCGTGCGCATGGTGTGGTGTGCAGTGCATGCAGTGCAGGGTACAGGAATGGCTGCACTACGGAGGATGTACATTGTGGCAGATAAATGCACTAAACTTGGCGTCACGGTATGACAAGTGTGGCTCTGATTTTTGGCAGTCATGGACAACACTTACTGTTGCTGCTTTCTGGCGAAAGAAGAGTGTGGAAAGTAAGTGGTCAGGGGCATTCATAACATACACAACCTCACTGGTTTTGGATACCTGTTGGTTGAGTAAAAGATAAATAGCCTTTTTTTTCCCCCTCATGTGTAACAGGAAGAACTTCCCTTAGAATTCGATGTGACCAGAACGGAAACCAAATGGAGGGGTAGAGCTCATCTGCCTTGGAATTATTTTCCACCAGGCATTAATAAGTTCAATGCCTTTGCAATCCACGGCTCAGGAGATCACAGAAAATACGAAGCACTTTATCCTGTGCCTCGACACAAACTTCAGGAAGGCCAGAAACCAGACTTGTAAGCATAAAATCAGTTCTTCTGTAATATATTTGCACTCTTCTTGGAGTACTTGTAGAATACACCAATCCAAGTGCCTCTGATATTTTAACTATACTGTTCAGCCCCAGATCCACTGTACTTTGTGTAAAGAACTTCCAGATAGCAGTAATTAGTGCTTGATTTCTGTGTTATCCCCTAGCTGCAGAGCAAATGATGCATTCAGTGTAATTTGCATCTGTTGTCACCTTCTCATCTAAAAAAAAAAAATCAGAGATGGTCTGCTCTTTTTTCTCCTTGCCTACAGCACTTCTTGACGTGCTATTTAATGTTAATTGTACCAGAGTAATAATATCCAGCGGGTCTCTTTTGCCTTAGAGATGGCTCTGAGTTATGGAAGAACTAGAGAGGACAGACGGAATTGGAAGTGTAATGAAAGGATGCCCACTATCAACAGCAAAACTAGAGTATGTTTACATTGTGCTGTGAGTGGACTTGTTCGTTTTCTGAGTCTGAAACAAGTTAATACAGGCTGTTACTTGTGTGTGGGCAGTTAGTGCAAATGAACGAGCTCTACAAGAGTGCTGCAGTTCTCATGAAAACTTGGTACTCAACATAGTGATAGATGAGCAAACTGCAGAATGCCTGTAATAATTTTCAAGAAGGGTTGGTTTTTTTTTTTTTCTAGGAGTACATCTTCATAGAAATCCTGACTTGTTCAGAGATGAACAGTAAACGTATTTATGGGAAGAGGTTGCTCCATGCTGCTTTAATTGCTCTTAGCTGGCCTTCACATGTAAAATGGACACTACCTATTTAGAGAATTTCATTTACTTAAATGATGCTAGCAGGTGTTCTATTTACTGTTTGGCAGCTGTTTAAGTATTACTAAGAAATGAGCCTCAGTTGATTCTGCTTGGCAATGCAAAGGAGAATTCCTAGCAAGAACCAGTTTGTAACGTTTGAAAGTGAGATGCAGCCTTACAGGAGAAGAATACTTATTAGCTTCATTATCCTGTTCTGTCTCCCAGTTTTCTGTAAGGAGAGGATCTCCTTGTGGAATGACTTTCCAATTGGTCAAAAGTTGTAAACGGTATTTGGCTGCAGTGCAGATACGTTGTAGAGCAGGTAGTCATTTTGTGTCTGCTCTGACTGCATTTTTGGTCACCTTAAGAGCTCACCTCTAAACTCTGCCTTTTAACTTCATACCGTTGTTCCTGTTTGTAGCTCAGGATTTTGCCTTCTTTCCAGTACAAGATTTTCAGAAACAGTGTTTACATTCCCAGAAAGGATGGAAAAAACATCAGTTAAGCCTACTGAGAATGTTCTGAGATGGTACTTTGGAACTTAATGTTTTTTGTTTCTCCTTTGTCTATAGTCATCGCCTGGAATTTTTCCAAGAGTTCAATCTGAAAGAACTAATGGGAGAAGACTGGAAGCAGCCTGAATCAGACATATGGAAGTCTCACATTAAATAGCAAACTGGATTGAAGCTTACGTTTTTGCTCGCATTAAGTTTGGATGCAAGTGTATGAGAACGAGTGATGTTGGGCAGAAACTGTGGGAATGGAATGTTGTTTCTGCACTAGAAACTACATTACAACTAACGAGATAAATATTTTTCTAAATAGCTTTTTTTGGAAAGGTCTTTTTACTTCACCAGGGGTCTCTGATAGTCTTTGCATGCTCAGCAATAGGTGAAGTAATTTATAGCCACAGAAATTAGGTAGATGGAGTAACTTGTAGGTACACAGACTGCATGCAGCTCTAGTCTGTCCAACCAATTCTTTGAAAGATATTTTTTCAACTACAG